GCTGTGTCCCTCCAGTCTTGCGACCCCTCGTAGGTCGCTGGCTAGCTATCCTCTCTAGAGCACTAACCAGCCCCATTGTAGTGTCTGTGCACTACAAACTAGGCCCTGAACTAGCAAGAATGAAACTTGAATAGGTGTTGTGCTACTCAAGGCAGCACGTTCGTCTCTCGTTAAGCTTTAAAGCCATCGGCTCACTTCTATCTTTACTAGATATCCTTCGCTGCCACTGACAGGGGAATTGAGAGCGGGTTGATGCCGTAGCTGTAGTGAACTAAGCAAAGCCTAGCCACTGCATTGTAGTTCCAGCTTATGGCATATGTGCGCACACGTCTCCCAAAGACAAAGACACCTGGTAAGCCTAAAGGAAACATAGTTGTCGCTGTTTTATTTCGCTCCTCCGCCAGGGAACCCTTCTGTCTCCATTGGTACTGCCAACTCCAAACCCTGGCCTGCGACCAGGGCATCTTAATATTATCTGCTGCAAGAGCCAGGGTCCTTTCGGCTCTCTCATTATACTTAATTCAAAAAGCAGCAAAAGCAACAGAACCCCAAGCATATCATCATTAGTATGATATTTGTATCCCACATGACTCTGACGGCCCTATCGGGAGTGTGTTCGCGTTCTTTTTCACCGTGAATCCTTGTCTTACGCTATGTTGTCCTCCTGAGCCACCTCCACGTCAGCAGCTTTTACCGGCTTCGTGATGGTTGAGGCTTGTCGCTGTCGGTCTGCCGCTGTGTGTCTGCTACTCTGCTTTCTGACTCCGCAGTGCATCAGCTGCTGTGTCTTTCATAGTGGGAGTCGCTGGCAGTCCTTCTCTAGCGAATGAATCTCCCTCAATGCCTCCAGATCTCCCTGTATGCGTTTAGTGCTCCCGTGTGTGCGTGCTTGTTCTGCAATTGCCAGTAGTAGTAACAACATGCCATGATGTCGATATATCAATTCAGTTGCTTAATCATTCATTCATTATGTGTAGCCCATCTGCTTGCCTAAGCGCTTGTCTACTCTCATATTTCTCCTTCCTTCCGTTAAATTTTTACTCTTATTTCTCCCTCCTAGTCCATCTTTCTCTATGAAGTCATAGCGTTATGTCATGATTCGTTATGTCTGTGCCAGTTATTTGAGCGTTTGTACATGTTTTTAGTGCTTCTTTTGCTTTTTATTCTTAATGTCCCCCTACTGAGAACTATCTATTGCATATCCTAATTGACAGTGAAACAGTTGCCTCCTATTAGCTACTTATCTATAGGTGCATTTATTTTCTGAATTTTTCACCACTAATTTATTTGTTCAGCATTTGCCTATATAATTAATTGCTTAGGATTTTTTCTGCTGTTTTCATACATTTACTCACACATTTCCAGTCTACTGTTTTTGTATCCCCATATTCATTCAAATTCTTTTCATCTGTATACATGTGTAAAGTTTACTGGAGATTTTTGTCCCTCGCTTTTTCATTTTCATGTTTACTTCATTTCTCAATTTTTTTCATTCATCGTTATGATTTGCTTTTCTTGAGTTTATTTTACTTCTTTTCTTCTTTTATACACACGGATACATCTTTTTTGTATGTTTGTCATTTTTCAAAGCTTTTTTCCCTCAAGTTAATTTCATTTATATGGTTCTTCCATATTTTCGAGTTTTAAAAACCTATTGGGCCTCCGTTACTGGTGCCTGCTATGCAGAATCTGTAGACTTCTTGTACAACTGACGTGGCTGCATAGCATTGCTATACATGCCGAGGATTAATATAGAAAGTTCCGCTTGCAGAGTCAACCGCTTTAGGCTCCGTTGTGCTCGAGACGGATACCAGAGCGTGGTCACCGGACAAACAGTGAATCTGGGCTGATAGAACAATTCAAAAAATGTACCGAGCGTAGTAGTGGTCTTCATTCCTTATAGAGATTTGAAAGTACATTAAGAACGTACGGCTCGATGGATGACGCAGTATAGTCATGCACTCGTGGCTCATACCGATGTTTACTGAGCACGACAAAAATTTTCTGTTGTCAGCGTTGTCTTGCTATCACGTGGTCCTGGTGATTGTAAAGTACCTGCGTGAGAACTTCGCGTAAAGTACCTGCGTGAGAACTTCACAGAGAGGCGGAGTGCAAATCTGCCGCATGCCGTCAATGCAAAGGAACTGCTAGAGCATCTCAAAACGGCATATGAGTTGGCTGCTGTGAAGCTTGCATCGAGTCCTTTTTGCTGGTTGTGCTGCTGCGAGCTACGCTTTGCAGACAATTGGGCATTTTGTGCAGTGGGAAATCCACGCTTGGGGAATAGAAGGCTCTCCCTTCTGGCCGTAAGTGCTGGCGTTGGCATTGTGAAGGATTGTGACTCTCATAATGAGAGATGTGCATGTACGGAAGGCCGGTGCTGTGCAGATGACTTCGGTGTATAGTGGCATTCCTGCTTCTCGTGCGTGAGAACAGTGGGCCTCAGACGAGTGACAATGAATGACAAAAGAACCCTCGTGCTTACTCATGCAAATGCTCAATCGTTCATCTGGCACCTGCGACTGTTAGAGAGACTGAGATCGTTTGTGCGTGAATGCTAACATGGCGAATGCTCCCGGAAAAATAACAAATGCCACAGGCGATTCGCCATGTCCACATGGAGAAGCATGTTGGAAAATCTAGACGAACGTTGGCTCCTGCGCAACCAACTACATTTGTTAATTAATATTTGAGGCATCTTCCCGAGCACAAGAGGCCTCGCACACCCAAAACTAAAGGCTTTCAGTGCACGATGCTTCTCTATGGCTAAGCTCTGCAGCTGTGAAGTGCACTCTATGAATACGCAAATGAAAGAAAACGACGATTGATGTAGCACCTGAAGTAAACAAAGTAAAGCGGCAAAGATGTAGATGTTTAGATATTGAAGTGAAGCAGTCGGGCCGCCTTCAGCAGAGTTTGCCCAGTGAACTCCATCAGTTCAACCACACACAATATATGCTCAAGGAGAAAAGTTTACAAGGTTTACTCGCCGTACCCTGCCCTGAAAGCCTCAGCGCGCCTAATTATGTTGGCTGGCAATAGAGCGTCTACGGTGATTCCGCCATGAGATAACCGGATAAGAATAGAAGCATTTGATTTGTTACTAACGGCAGCACAAGTGGGATATCCTAGAGCCCGTGTTATTGAGTCTACTCAGAGTTCCCCCTCCCACTGTTTTACGTGTGCTCGAACCACAGGCCTTCCTGTGCAGTAGCGACCAGCTAGCTTAACTAACTCATTTTGCCCCTCTGGGACAGTGAGTAATAAATTGAGCCTTAGTAAACCTCAGCGTGGGAATTACAGAAAGCCTTCTTTGTCAGGCCCCAAAAGCACCCAAAACTATCTGCTGCGCATCACGCTATCATGGGCACCCAATACGCGGAATGAAACGTAGCTAGTGCTTAGCGCTCACCTAAGCACCTTACACCATTTAAAGTTCACAAGAAGCTAACAAGAATGCTTAGTATAGCGCATACTTCATTCCTCTGAACGGAATTTTCGACATAACGAACCCACATGTGATACCCGCGGCCGCACCAACGGATGCCTGTCACTGGTTGAAAGTGCACAAATTACCCTTGAAGATACGCGAAAATGCTTTTTTCTTAATTTTCAGCTATTTACATTGTTATCCAAGTTAGCTAGAATTCAGCAAGAAGCGCTGCGGTGCCGGCTGGCTGTTCACACATGTATGGGATTGCAGTACTGGTGCCGAAGTTGCACTTCCCTCCCTCTAAAAGCAGTGTAGATGTCTCAATAAGCATATCAAATGAGGAAGCATCGTCTTTTTGCTCAAAGAAGCAAAAATAGCGCCACAGCTGGTACATCGGCAAGCCCCCTCCCCACCCCTCCAGCAGCAGTGCCGCTGCAGCTGTTGCAGAGGTGGACTGCTGCTGGCGCTGCTGCTGCTACTGCTGCTGCGCGCATTTCTCGTTCTCACTGCTACTTTGCTGACACTCCTTCTCTTTCTCTGTTTTTTTTTGTAATATCGAGTTTTTGCGGCTTGCTGCGCTCTTTGGAACTCTACTCTACTCCTGCGTCATACCCAAGGTTGGCATACACTGCGTGCTGCATCAGCGCGAAGCGGTGCGCGTCAGGTTGGGCGGGCGCTTTGTTTGTTTTGCGTGTTTTTTGTCCTAAGTATCCCTTTCTATCTCTCGAAACTTCCTCTGGTTGCTGGTGTCTTCTTTTTTTGCTGGCCAAGTTGGCACTCTACGGCTCATTGGCTCTTGCGATCCATCACGGGTCGTGCTGTCAGTCCTGTGACTACGTAGAGTTCGAATGAGAGTGTTCTACATGGCTCTTTTCATTTTCGGAAGCATTTTTTATCTATATTCTCCGTTCTTGTCGACGTATTGGCCACGGATATTGGTGCTTTAGTCAGCTTGGCTGCATCTGCTTTCGAAACAGCCACCTGTTTTTTCCTCTGCTTTATCGCTCAAGCTTTATCCGTATGTTCTTTTCGCTCTGTTTCTTGCTCAGGATACACTTATGTCCCTCGACCTCCAGAACCTCGGCGTCTCTGACCCATTCGCCAATGACACCACCAAAGCCGGTGGTGTCGGCGGTAACGCTTCAACGCATCTCATTCGTGAGCCGCAGCCCCAGGACCCCGAACGTGGCTTCAACCATAGCACAGTCTGGGCGATGCTGGATGTTGAGCTGCCTGTGGCGCAGAAGCAAGGAACATATGTTCGCTTGCTAGTTAGCATAGATGGCTTCGTTTCTGAGGGTAACTCGATTTCCTGTTGCTTTGTGCGTTTTTTGTGGGCGCAGATATAAGAAATCAGCAGCGAAATGGCCGCAAGAGTGTGACGACCGTGCAGGGTCTGCCCAAGGCCTTCGACTTGAAGAAGATGGTTCGAGCCCTTAAGAAAGAGTTTAGTTGCAACGGAACTGTTATAGAGGACCCCGAACACGGTAGCATCATCCAGCTGCAGGGCGATCAACGCCAGGCGGTTAAGGAGTTTCTCGAGCGAGAGGGAATCTGTGGGGCTGAACAGCTACGGATCCACGGTGTCTAGACAGCTAGCCAGCCACCGGCCTCTCGTGTAACACTACATTTTCGCCCACCCGTTGTGCCCACACCTCTATACATATCGTGTTGAAACCAGACAGCAGTACTGTGAAGAACAAACGCCTTTCCACCCGTGTACGAGTCCTCAGCCACCCCGCACCCCGAGGTTTATGGTGCTACCGCGCGTTTCTCCCACTGTCGAGGCGTGGGGGACTTTGAAGCGCTTTGAGAGCAGCAAAGTGACAAAGGGTGTCGAGCCATTTTATGTAATTTATACATCGGGAAGTAGATATATATGGTGGAGCGGGTGAGAAGGCGGTAGCTGGCGCGATAGCAGTGCAGATGGTGGGGTCCCCTGTTGGTGTAGAATTGGGGTCCTGAAGATGGGGGGGCCCTCTTTGACATATCTGAGGCCAGAGGGTCTCTGGTGGGGGCAGAGCAGTTGTCTATCTGGAGCTGACCCCGCAGCTTGCGGAGGGAAGCCAGCGTCTCGTTCCCTTGCCGCCAACACTCGAGACTCCATTTCTGGTTTATTGGGTGGCTTCATTATCTGTTCGGCGTTTTTGTTGGCACTTCGGAGGGCCCTTATACGTGAACATGGGCTGGGTGCTATTTAGTTGCCCAGTGCATGCGTGTAGTAGTAAAGTATTGTAGCACAGAAGTTGCCCAGGCAAATGGGTCGTGTTGGCCTGCTAGTGATAGTGTCAAGCCCCGGAATAGTTTACTGGGTCCTGTAGGATTAGGACAGTTGGAGGGGTAGTAGCATTGCATGCACTTCCTGAGGAGTTAAAAAGATGGGTTCTTCGGGTATGGACGGGCAGCAAAAGCAGGATAGGGGAGTTCCATCAACTGGTATCCTGCGACAGTTAAACTCGTTCAGAGGAATTCGGGACGACTCCAGTCCCTTAGGAGCGTCAGGAAAAAGTGATGCTTGGACAAGTTGAGCAAAGCGAGTGTGGTATATGGTGCATACATGCAGAATGTTTTTCTAGAATTAGCTACCAGATGCAGTTCAGATATGTCTGGATAGGCGCCAGTCTGTTGTTTGAATATACGTGTTCGGCGTTGCACGTAGATAAAGGCATGGGATACGAGCGTGTTAGCAGTACGTGTGTTAGTTCTGCTTCTTCAGTGGCAAGCACTAGAATGTAAACTAAACTTCTCAATGACTGGTTGCTCACATACAAGCATCAGTTACAGCATGTGTCTGAAGCGCCCGAAAGAAATCGTCTCTCGTTGAATTTCGTGGGATGAATCGAAGAAGCGACGGAAATAAGAACACTCTTCTTTGGTGCGTTTTGCTGTATATTTGGCGTGTTTCGTGCTATATGAGCGTAGTTACAGTTCCTGGTAACTACCAAAGGATACTGCATACGCTGTAAGCGTAGTTCCTCGTAGCTGTTCTTTGCGAGTCGCATATAAACACGTCGGCTGCTGCGCGAAAACAGTCTCCGGTTCTTCTTCAGTGTACTCAGCATTGCCCATGATCTCCCCTTACTTGTTGCTCGTCCCTGTGTCTCAAAGCCGAGGTATTTCGTAAAGCTCCTGCAATAAGATATGCTCACCAACAGGGCATGCCAGAGGTAGACTTCCGCACTAACGCAAGGGCACTCAAGGTACAAGAAGAGAATTTGAAGTCACATAATTTTCCCTCCCTTCTTACGGCCACCGCTTGGCCTTTTCTGAGAAGGCATGTTAACTGCTCATTGATTTTCACCGTTCTGTGCCTCCTTCCTTTCTATCTCTGAGTCCTATACTGCTTTGAGAGGACTTGTGCGGGCCACTATGTTTTTCTGAGTAGGTCTGGCTAGCCGGCAACATGCAACGAACTGCCATCCTCCCTGAAATGCTTAATCTAGGTTCACTGCAGGCCAATCCTACTCATTCACATGAGCTACACTGCTGCGCTGAAGTTGTCTGCTACATATGTTGCTTCAAGTACCTTGCTGCAGAGGAATGCTACATATGTTGCTTCAAGTACCTTGCTGCAGAGAATGAGTATATCGCGCTCGTATAGCACAGTACACGCCACTTACACAAACGTCTCTGCAGTGTTGTATTTGCTTGTACCGCTAGACCCATTTAAAGTGTGCAACCGCCAAAATGGGAAGGGAGCAGTACGATTTGTACACCGATTATGTAAGCGTATAAAGTAGCCGAGCCAAACAAGAGAACCAGCTGGCGACCCTCCCCTCCCTGAAGACAGCACGCTACGTATTTGTTCCCTTCGCCGCCACCACTTGATTTTCTGAGAGACTAATTATAAAAATTAAATTTTACAGCGTGCTTCTACTGCGCAGTAAACGGGACCGTTGTTGTTTTTCCCAGGGCCTCTGGGTGCCCGGCAAAGCTGCCAACGCAGTTCAAGGATTGCGCTTTCACTTTAACATGAGTGCGATGAAAGCTTCGGGGAAAAGAGATACATTAACAACAATAGTCTTTATTATATTGATCCTCTGTGTCCTTCTTTTTGGGGGCTGCATGCATGCGGGTAGCAGCAGCCTCCGCTGTTGTTGCCGCGAGAGCTACGAGTTAAACGCTAACATATGAGCCCTAGATATTCATGTTTTTTCGTGTTTTTCTTACACTTTTGACTCCGCCCGAGCCATCCGCAACTTACGCATACCTAAGTGACGGGGCCGTCCCAGCATGTGCTGGCATAGATCAACTTCGGCAAGGGTTGCGGCAACCACGTTTCGTGTCAAGGCTTTACGGTTCCTAAAATTAGACTAGCCCGTAGGGAGGGGGCTTGAAGCCCCCGGGGCTGTAACAGTAGGGGACCCAGGAAAGACAACGGCGGCTGAGGGTGACGATGGAGCAGCTAGAGCGGCTCAGCCTCGTTTCACGCATTGCAACAGAGTTGCACAACCATTGGGGGATTAGCGACAAGGTAATGTAGCACGCAGCCCTATGCACATGAGCATCGGCGCTGCATTTAGGGCGATGCCTTCAACAACACATGCGAAGTGGAGATATGGACATTGTCTGACGTGGACGTGTCCACACTCTTCCTCAAGTGCCGTTAAACCCTGTTGGTCTTCGCTTGCCTTTGTGCTGTCTTATTTGGTTGCAGGATTTGGCAGAGTTCGTCCTACACTTGGGAGAAGAGTCACAGTCTCTGGAGGAGTTCCGGGCCAAGCTGAAGGCAAACGGCTCCGCGGTGACTCAGGCTCTCGCTGTCAGTCTGTACACATCGATTTCAAAGTTTGTAGCGAAAAGCAAAAAAGCAAAAGCAGCAGCAGCGAGTGGCAGTACCAGTAGCGGCAGCAGCGGGATAGGCGCCAAGAACGGTGTCTCGCCGTCTCCAGTGAAAGACTCCAAAGATGAACAAGTTTCTCCCCCCGGCAGCAGCACTAACGGCAGCAAGCCTCTGCCAGCCTCAGCTTTTTCAGTTTCGCAGCATCCACCTACAGAGAAGGAGTTAAAGTTTCCAGGTCTCTGCATGCAGAACAGATTCGACAGGCCTGAGCTGCAGCTGGCGCGGCCCGACGACCACGCCCCTCTTTCTGCTGCAGCGCAGCGACTGCTGGAGCAGGAGAAGGACGATAAGGAACTGATGCGAGAACAGCAGGAAGCCTTTAAAAGGGCCAAGGACGGGTACTGGGGAGGAGATCACAACAGCAGCAGCAAGGGCGGCATAAGCGCGACAGGCGCGAACGCGTTGCCTATTGGAGGGGCCTCAGGCGCAGCAGGAACAGCGGCTGCAGCAACAGGTGCAGCAGATGAAAACCTGAACTTCTGCGGGAAGAGAGGGGCCCCCTTAGAAAGGTATGGGATATATGACGGGGTTGTTTCCAGGGTCATGGAGTACGGAGCCTTCGTGCAACTGGACTTGGCGGAGGGCAGAAGAGAAGGGCTGCTTCATGTGGCCGACATGAGCAGGCCCGACGGAGGCCCGTGTGTCAGCGCGTGAGCCAAGTCTTTAAATTCATAACATTGAGCCTAAGCCCCAGCTTCTGTGGCCCAGAAAACAGATAGGCGTTTCGGGTGTAAATGGAGGCACTGTGCAGATTAGTGAAGACAGACAGGGCACGAGGATGAGCAGACAGCGATAGGTTTTACCTCACATCATGAACAGGATTTCCTGTTCATGATGTGAGGTCTTAAGATGCAAAGTCTGTGAGAGGCAGAGGTACATGCATTGTGGTTGGAAGCTGTGAATAACAGACAACTGGATGGAGCCAGTGCACAGATTAAACACGAAGAAGCAAGCATACAGATCAGGAGGGTGGCAGGAGACAAGACTTTGCGCTTGGGCTGGTTTTATTTTCAGTGATGCCGTCCGAAAGGGCCAAGTGGTGAAGGTGAAGGTGCATGCAATCGCTGGCACTCGTCTGTCGCTGACAATGAGAGAGGTGGATCAGGCGACAGGCAGAGACCTCAAGCCGAGGAACCTTCAGGGCGGCACTTCTTGTGAGTTTTGTTGAAAATTCGTAGTTATTTTGGGATAGGAACAGTACCGGATGCAGCCGCTGTTTCTTATTTGTGCCTTTGTTGCTGTGCAGCAGTCTGTTTGCTCACGTTTGTGTTATGTTGAGCAATCCCTTTCCAGCTTTCCTGTGATTGTCTTTATATGCATTATTGCAGTGCTATATACTGCCTTTTAGGGCACTGTGCCCTCTGTCAAGCTCGCTGTTGCCTCTCTTCTCCTGCAGCATCCGCTGTTCTGGCATGCTTCCTCATCTTCCCGTGAACTCTCCTGCCTGCGGCCCTTAGCAGCGTTTACGTGCCTGTGCATCTGCTTGTTTGGTTTCAATGCCCACTGGGTTCAAGTGATAGCTTCTTGCACTTCGTTGTTGGGCATTGGCTTCCTGTGTTGCCGCTTATTGCCTTGCTGCTACTGCTGCTGCAGCTTCGCGTGCCGCGCTGTTTGAATCCCTTGCCGAGGAGCACGCGCAGGCCTTGGAGAAGAAGGGCCTTGGTCGGATAACGGGGGTTAAAATTAACCTGGACTCCACAGAAGAAGAGACCGCATACTCCAGAAAGAGGAAGTGTGCAAGCTCTCAACGCGAGCCTTTTTCTTAGCTTTCTTTTGCACACACTGCCCTTCTCAGACTTGATCGCTATTACCTTGTGGCCAAATATTTGACAGAGCCACTGATCAACCTTGATGTCAAGGCTTAGAGTTTTAAGCCTGGGCCTGGTGTTGAGATTCAGAGTTCACGGTGTCGGTTGTGCTCAGGCTGATGTCGGACTACGACAAGTGGGAGGCCCAGCAGCTGCAGCGCAGCGGCCTTGTGAGCAGTAAAGAAAACCCGTATTACGATGAAGAGGCAGGGGGAATCTTGCCAGTACAGGAGGCCGAGGAGGACGTAGAGATCGAAGTGGTGGACGAGGAACCACTGTTCCTAAGAGGCCAAACCACCAGAGCAGGTAGGCCAGACTCGTACGAAATCGTAGCTACGGGCTGGCGGGGCGAGCATGCACCTTTGTATGTATGTCCCAAAGCAGTTGCTGACCCCAGGGCAGGCCATAGTGAAGGAGAGGCAGTGTAACCGAGCCTTTCAAGGATTCGGTACTATATGGGCTCCTAATTCAGGTTGTGGTGACTGCGGCGGCTCATGAAGTGAGGGTTTAGTTAGGTTTAAATAGGCGTATTCGGCTGCCGTCGGATAGAATCTCATGCGCTTTCTTTTTTTTTGCCTGCTTTTAGGCATGCAATTGTCCCCAGTAAAGATTGTAGCGAATCCGGATGGTTCTCTGGCCAGAGCCGCAGCGACTGCGCAGACCCTTGCGAAGGAGAGGAGAGATGTCAGGTAGGAGACAGAGAGCCACGATGACAGGGCTTAGGGAGGCTGGCAGAAACAAGCAGACGGGCATGTATACATAGGAAAATGAGCCTGTGGCTCTTTATTGTATGCACTCATCTTGATGTGTTTGTTCTCCACGTCTCGCAGTTTACTTTTCTTTTTGTGAATGCTTGCATTTATGTGTGTGTACTTGTGGTTTTTCAGTGCATCCATTCCAGAGTGGAATATTTCTGTTCACACATTCTTCCGAAAATGTGCCAGTGCCTGTCTGTATGTGCTTGCTGTCCTTTCTCAGACAAGCACAGGAGGCCGCCATTCTGGACTCCATCCCCAAAGATATGTCAAGGCCGTGGGAGGACCCGAACCCTCAGCCGGGTGAAAGAACCATTGCGCAGGCACTCCAAGGACTGGGGCAGACAGGTACGTCTAGGCTAGAGTTGCTGTTTCCCCGTGCGTTCAGCCTTTGCTGTGGCTGCTGTTGGCTGTTCTGTTGTCCCTAATGTGGCTGCTGTTGCCAGTTTTGGCTTTTTTGGTGGCGTGGTTCTGTATCTATTAGTTCTGTCGCCTGTGTTGATACTTTTGCGAGCGCCTGCATTTGATGGGCTGCAGGCATTGGCTGGCTCTCTGTGCGTGTCTCATTTTGACCGCGTATATGCAGCCTTTTTTGTTTGCTTTTTGGTGTGTGGAATCAGGTTACGAAATGCCCGAATGGAAAAAGCTGTACTTGGGGAAGAACGTTTCCTTTGGGATCAAGAGTACTTTGTCTATTGCGGAGCAGCGTCGCTCCCTGCCAATCTACAAATTGAAGGAGCAGCTACTAAAGGCTATTATGGGAAATCAAGTCCTGATTGTCATTGGAGAGACAGGCAGTGGTGCGGTGTCTTCTTGGTTCATTGTCCTCGTGCATGCAACCAGCGTTGGCCTACTGCAAATTTGGTGCATGTCTAATGTTAAGGCCTCAAAACTCTTTTTTTTTAATGTGTCATTTGTCGTTGCCTTCATGCGTTCATATTCGTGTGGATGTCTGCATGTGTATTTTGTGCCTCTGCTGGCACGTTGGGAAGTCGAAACTGCTACATGTTATCGCATTTTGGGACTGTTTGAAGGTTAAGGTGTAGACTTTGGATGCCCGTACAGGTAAAACGACGCAGATGACCCAGTACATGGCAGAAGCGGGTCTTGTCACCCCTGGGAGGCTTATTGGATGCACTCAACCGAGAAGGGTTGCCGCAATGAGCGTTGCGAAGAGAGTGGCAGAAGAGTTCGGTTGCAGACTTGGGCAAGAAGTGAGCCTACGGCATTTATGGACGGGGGCTTAGGGTTGATGGCTGAAAGCTTGGGCTACAGACTCCAAATAGTTTCCATTCGGAGCCTTCAAAATAGGTCTTCCAGTATTACAGTAAATGCCCGAAGTGGTGCCAACTGCGGAGTGGCCTTGATGGCTGGGTTTGGGACTCCTGCACCCGTTAATGACGTGCATGAGTGACGTTGGGCCGCGCAGAGCCTCGGTTGGCGACTGCTGGATTAGAGCTTAGACTTGACAGCTAGGAGATAACGGTTTGTGCGCAGGTGGGTTATTCGATTCGTTTTGAAGACTGCACTTCACCGGACACCATAATTAAATACATGACCGACGGTCTGCTGCTTCGAGAGGCGCTGGTCGACCCCAGGCTGCAGAGATATTCCGTGGTGATGCTTGACGAAGCTCACGAGCGCACAATCAGCACTGATGTTCTCTTTGGTCTTCTGAAGGTGAGGCCACCTGCTGCCTTTTGTAACCTTTTGTTTTAGCGCTGAAAGCTTAGGGAAGAGAGCTCCGGGTTTGGGGTCAGGTCACCTGTGAGTGGTCTACGCGCTTGACGTATCCGCGTGTTTCTGTGGTGATTTCTCTTTTTGATCGTTGGCTTTTCCCGCTTTCTCGCCACTGCCTAGGTTTCCTACCTCCGCAGTGTGTAGGGGCACGCCTTTTCACAGCGTCTCCTTTAGCGTTCCTGTTTCCTTGAGAAGCGGCACATTAACGGGGGAGGCTGGTGACGGCTGCGTGCATTACAGCGCAGGCGACAGATACCCTCTCTACAGCACTTTTGCATGCTTGGTTTTTGGTTCTTCTTCTCGTTGCTTCTTCCTTTGCCATCCTATGACCGCATTGGCCCATCCTGGCTGCCTTCTTTTTGCCCGCCATTCCAAGGTGTTACACCATTTCTGCTTGTCCATACACGCTGTGCTTTGCATTGTTTTTGCACTCACTCGTGCCCCTGATGATAAGATTTGCTGTCCCGCTTGTTTTGTATTTTTTTAGGAGTGCTGCAGGCAGCGACCAGACTTCAAGCTGATCGTGACGTCTGCAACGTTGGACGCTGAGAAGTTTTCAAACTATTTTTTCAACTCCAGCATCTTCACGATCCCAGGGCGCACGTTCCCTGTGGAAATTCTATACACAAAGGAACCAGAGACGGACTACGTGGAAGCGGCGTTGATTACTGTCCTCCAGATTCACCTTTGCGAGCCCCCTGGGGACATACTGCTGTTTCTTACTGGCCAGGAGGAAATTGACACCACTTGTCAAACCCTCCATGAACGCATGCAGAGACTGGAATCCGCTAATCCCCCTCCCCTTATCATTTTGCCAGTTTATTCCGCCCTTCCTTCTGAAGTTCAGACTATGATCTTTGACCCTGCACCCCCCGGCTGCAGGAAATGCGTTGTTGCTACAAACATTGCGGAGGCGTCCCTTACCATTGACGGTTAGGCTCGTATTCAAAGTGTTCACAGTTAGAGGATTAAGCTTTAATTTTCCACTATGACTAAGAAACTGTCTGCGTTTGACCGCAGCTGCTGAGGTCATCCTGTACGTTGAAAACTTCGGCATCGAATGCGGGTGTATAGTTTGCGCTCTAGGATAGAGGGCTTCACACCGTTTATATGTGAGAGCTGAAGATTGCTAACAGTGTGGGCGTATGGGTTTTTGGATCTAGGGTGTGTGTGCGCGTGCAGGGATATATTTTGTGATTGACCCGGGGTTCGCAAAAGTGAAAATGTATAACCCCAAGTCTGGGATGGATGCGTTGACAGTTGCCCCCATTAGCCAGGCAAATGCTCGGCAGCGTGCGGGTCGTGCTGGCCGCACAGGTAATACGCTAATCTCGACCTTGGAAACCTAGCTCCGTGTCCTAGTGCTGAACTTTCGCATTAGTCGCTCTGTATGGTTGCTTCTGTGATTGGTGCAGCAGCCTTCACTTGTTGGTGTGTTGTGCATTGAGTGTCAGGGGAGCTTTGGCCATCCCCTCCAAACGTGGATCGTGCATTCCCAGCTTACCTGGATATGTGCCTACCTGCATTTAGCATGCACATGCGTTTGTATGCATGCGCGCAGGGCCCGGGAAGTGCTACCGGCTGTACACAGAAGCTGCATACCGTTGCGAGATGCTGCCAACGGCAGTGCCTGAAATTCAACGAACGAATCTGGAAAACACAGTGTTGTTGCTGAAGGCTATGGGAGTGAATGATCTCCTAAACTTTGACTTCATGGACCCTCCCCCCGTGCAGACTTTAATCAATTCATTAGAAACCCTGTTCGAGCTGGGAGCCCTCGACGATGAGGGCCTCCTCACCAAGCTCGGCAGGAAAATGGCTGAATTTCCCATGGAGCCGCAGCTCAGCAAGATGCTGCTTACTTCTGTTGACTTGAAGTGCAGTGACGAGATCATCACCATTGTTGCCATGCTTTCGGTTCAAAACGTGTTCTACAGACCGAAGGTACCTTAGCCTTAGACAACACATTGCCCAAGTTGAATAAGAGTCGCTGTGTACTGAGTAGAATTGCAAAAAAATCCCGACAGTCCCACGGACGGACGTTGCGCTGCTTCTGTAGTGTGTGACGGTGCCCAGAGAAGCCGTGAACGTCCCGGCATAGCTTTCAAAGTTCGAGGCTTGTTCTTGGAAGTTAATGCTATTGCGGCTTATGTACTTCTTCCGTTTGGCGTTGCTCTTTTATGCTTTGACAGGACCGGCAGGCGTTGGCTGACCAGAAGAAAAGTGGTTTTCATCAGCCCGAAGGGGACCACATCACTTACTTGGAGCTTTATCGTGCATGGCAGCGAAACCGTTTCAGCAACGCTTGGTGCTATGAGAATTTTATACAGGTTAGATTTGTTGAGGGCTGTAGCTCTAGTTCACTGCTTCTGCTCTTCATTTTCCTTTCCTCGCAGTCCATCACTGCTGCTCGCTATCTTTTTTCATTCGAAGGAAACTGATGCGGTGCATTCTTTAGGTCTGCTCACACTTCAAAGCTGCCGATGGGGAGGGTTGCTTCCCCGGAGGACATCGTGTCTCCATTTCATGCAGTAGTCTTGCTGGGCACCAGTATGTGAAGCTTTGTTTTTAATGCCTCTGGTTTTTGGCTGTTTTTTAGCACCGCGCATTGCGAAGGGCCCAGGATGTGAGAAAGCAGCTTATATCTATTATGGACAGATACAAACTTGACATCATATCTGCGGGAAAGGACTACAAGCGAATCTGTGAGCAGTGCTGCTAAGGCTGCTGCTACTGCTAGCTGCCGCAAAGCTGCAAAATTGCGTCAAGTTCGGCGGCGTGAGCGTTACCTGTTCGTTTAGCTTTGGCTGTGCAAATGATATAATCATCTATCAATAGACTGTCTCTGCCGATGCTGTTGCTGCTCTTAATGACTTTTTCAGGCCGCTGCATATGCGCTGGTTTCTTCCGTCATGCTTGCCGGGTGGATCCTCAAGAGGGATATCGAACCCTTGTAGACCATCAGCAAGTGTTCATGCACCCGTCGAGTGCCTTGTACAACAGGTATTTGTTGATGCTGCTGCTTTTAATTTTTGCGTGGGTTTGGCTTGCTGCTGTTGTTGCTTTGTCGATTGTTCTCGACTTCGAGACATTTTGCAGCTAAGTGATCTGTAGCTGCTGCTTTGCTGGTTCAGCTGCTGAAGCTCGTAGCATTGTTGATGCTGCTCTTTTGCAGGAACCCCGAGTGGCTGGTTTACCATGAGCTTGTCTTGACGACGAAGGAGTACTTGCGAGACTGCTGCACCATAGAACCCCTCTGGCTGTGCGACGTCGCTCCAAAGCTCTTCAAGCCTGTATGTTTGGTGCTGCGGGTGCAGCCTCTCTGCTGCTACTCATGCTGTTCCTGGTGCCGTTGCTGCAGTTTTTAGCGTTATCAGTCTAGCCTATGTTGCATTGCTGCTACTGCCTGTCGTTGCTTGAAGGGTATTTGCATGGCATATTTGCTGCTCCTGATGTTGCGACCGCTTTCCGGTGCAGGCAGACCAACAGCGGCTCTCTCGCCGGAAGATGCGGGAGCGTATCGAACCTCTTTACAACAGGTTCGAGGAGCCCAACGCTTGGAGACTTTCTCGCAGACAGGGCAAGAGGTAACTGCGACCAGTTGCAGCGACTGCAGAGACAGCAGTCGCAGAAACAGCAATTGCAGGTGCAACAGCTGCAGAGGCGAACGCTGCAGGCGCGGCAGCCTCAGCAGCGACGATCGCAGACACAGTCACTGCGAAAGAAGCGCATTTGGCTTTTGGTTTGTTGTTTCCTCACAAATAAAAGGGAAAACTGTTCAACGTTGCTTCCGCTGCTTTGCTGCGACGAGCTGTGCTCTCTGGCTGCAGCAGCAGCGAATCCTTTTCTCCTGCAGCAGGTTATAGAAAGCTGCAAATGCAGTGAAGGCAGTGGTAGCAGTAGCTTCTGCCTCAGCAGCGTCGGCTGCTGCAACTCTGAATTGTTGAGGCGGTGCATTCGTCTGATCGCTCATCACGCTTTGCCTAAGGATGACATTGTTCGCTTCTGCGCTCTAGCTCTTCGCGACAGTTACGCGCTTCTGCTGTGACAAGAAGCGCAGCGTAGTTATCAGGAACAGCAACCTGAAGTGACACAAGTAAACAGCTAACTTCATCTGCTTTCGAGCTGCTACCACGTCGTCAACTACCAAAAAGCGCTTGTAGTTTGGAAATGCTTAGTTAATAATGTTGCGGCGTCAGCAGCTGCTGCTGCAGTTGCTGCTGCTGTTGTAGTTGCTGCTGCGGCGGCAGAAACACTGCCTGTAGCAGCTGCTGGCCGTGTTGGTGGTGGTGGTGCTTTTGCTGCTGCATATCACTGGCAGGGAATGCCATGGCCTCAAAGCCGTGGAAGGTTGGTGTCATATCTGAGTGGTGCTGCTGGATCAGTGGCAGCATGTGTGGTTGGGGATGCTGCTGCTGTTCCTGAAGGTGAAGGAGGATTGGGTACTGTTGCTGCAATACGCCGTGCTGCTGCTGCTGCTGCTGTTGCATCAACACGTTGAAGTGCTGCACGGGCTGTTGCTGCCAGGAATACTGCCTCTGCTGTTGCTGAGCCTGCAGGAGCAGCTGCTGTTGCAGGCTTTGCTGCGCCTGAAGCTCTTGCTGTTGCCACATTGGAGAGCGCAGCGGTATTGACACCGAGCCGTTTCTTTTGCTGCTGCAGCAGATGCCATCATGCCCCGTCTCCGTTGCTGGGGTCACTGCGCACCACCTGCCCGTGGGGCTAGTACACCGACGATGCGGTTGCAGGTAGCCATGCCTGTTGCCGTTGCTGTTGCTCATTTTGCTGCTTACTTGACTCTTGCAACAACTGGCACTGGCCTTGCATTCGCCACTGGCCTTGCTACTACTGCTCACGGAATTCCTGCTGTTTCCACAACAGAAACATTTGCCTGCCCAAGAAGGACTTGGGCAAATGTTGGGAATATGCAGCAGCAGGTGATTCTGAGCAGCAGTGCCTGTTCCTGCTTCCGGCGGTGCTGCGTTTGCTGACGCTGCTGTGGGTACAGCGAGCTCTGCACCCGATTGAAGATGCCAAGGGGACTGCCCACTCAGATGAAGTTGCTGCTGTTGCTGCTGCTGTCCCGCCGAAAGCGTACAGTAGGATAGCGGAGAATGCTGCAGCTGGAAGACTTGGCCATCTGGTGCTGTTGAGCCAACTACAGCATCAAGAGAGGGCGTCCTAGCACAAGTGGCCGTTGGAGCAGCAACTGCTACTGCTGCTGCCGGAGCAGTATTTCTTCGTGGCCGGAGGTGCTGCTCCCTCAGTTCTACCTGAACCATTTTATTTTGGTGGTTCACGTGCTGCTGATAACACTGATGGGCCAGCAGAGCGCTGAAGTTCTCTTGCTTGTGCCGAATCGCTGCTGATATTTCTTGCAGTGTTTCGGTAACGAGGCAGTCAACAGCAGCAAACACAGCAGCTGATGTGTATAGCCAGCTCGTCCTGCTAACCCCACGTCCTCCCCAGAGAGCGTCCTCCATAGCAGCTAACTGTTCCAGCGCAGGGGCCTCCTTCAACCATTGCTGCAGGGGCTGCTGCTTCGTTGCTCCAAGCCTTTGCAAGAGCTGTTTCTTCTCCGCCACCGCATGAAACAAAGTGCGCACGTCCCCTCTTTCTGCAGCAGAGGGTGCTGCTACAATCTTTTCTATTGGGCTTCCTGAAGGTGCTGCTACTGTTGGCGCTGCTGCTGCCATTCGGAGTCCTACAACGACTTCGCGAGTAAGCTGTTCCCGAAGTAGAGTTAGCTGGACATACACCTCAGCTTCTGGACAGAACTGCAAGAGGAACCTCGCTGAAGTGATCGTCTGTGCTTGAATGGAAGACGTGACAGACAGGTATTTCTGTTCCAGCTGCTCCGCAACGGCGACTTTATCAGCTGCTTGTACCATCGCTTTTGCTGTGTTTGTCGCCTCTACCGTTGTTGTCTGTGGAGTTGCTTGTGAGACTGCGCACTCCTGCATGTTTCCGGCGGCTGCTGTATCTGTGTTGCTGCTTTCCAGCCCAATGCTTTTGCTGGCCGGTACTTGACGGTCTTCATGCTGTGCACGCAGCGCAGCAAGCTTCTTTGCTGTTTCTGCCTGCAGCACCTGCACTGCCACTGCCCATTCGTTAAATAGCCTTTTGTTCTGCTGGGAGCTCAAAATGCGTCCACCTACCGACTCTGCAGAAAGGGCAACAGTCTCAGATCGTGCTGAATTTGCTGCCCCAGCAGTACATGCTGCTGCTGAAAGTGATGTGAGGGCAGCGCGAGTGGCCGCCTGAGTTTCTTGACTCCAGAGTAAAGGGTCTTCCCCTAAGTCCATTGCTGCGCTGCAGCAAGCAACACTTTCTGCCTGCAGCTGCTGCAGCAACCGTTGCATCAGTGGAAGCTCGGCGACAGTAGCAGCAGCTGTCGCTAGTCGTGTTTCTTCTGCTGTGGCAAACTTTTCGGTCCCCTCGAGCAATGGCGACAAGGGGGTGTACCGTTGTTGAGGGAGGCACCTGAGACCTCCTTGGCCGCAGAGGCAGCTGCTGCTGCTGCTGCTGCTGTTGCTGCACATCCAGACGACCTGTGGGGAACAGCATGCCATCTGAGGTGAAGAAAAGTTTGGGGCTTTGTTGCAAGCACTAGGAGGTGTGGACGCTCTGCCTCTCGCTCCGCTACTGGCTGTTGTGCTGCAGCAACAGCTCCATCCCTCAGTATGCTGCAGTTGCTGCCCATCTGCTGAATTAGCTGCTCTTGCAGCAGCACCCAGACAAAGCGGAGTGCTTTCGGCTGTCTCGGCTCCACACATGGGATGATGCATAGGGTGTTTCAGCTTCTGCTGCAGTAGTGCCTGGTGCAGTCTGATGAGCTGCTGCTGCTTTTGGTGCTGCTGCTGACCTCTGTGAGAGGGACACAAGGTAGGCGTGCAAGCAAAGACTACATCATCCCCACGGGTGTGGTCATGCTGCTGAAGTTGATGCAGAAGCTGCAGCTCCTCCTTCAGTGTCCCGCCTACCTGACGTGGGTCAATGTGGCCCCTGCTGCAGCAACTAGCAGGAACTACCTTCCTGCTGCCGCAGCAGCTTCCACTTTTCCTATAGCTGCAACAGAATGCAGCCTCAGCTGCGGCAGTAACAGGGGAGACGGCGGCTTGCTCAGTCTGCAGCTCAGGTGGCTGGGAGTGCTGTCTTTCATTTTGCTGCTGCATATGCTGCTGCATATGCTGCTGCATCTGTTGCTGCATCTGATGCGCCTGCTGCATTTGCTGCATGTGCCTTTGCATCTGTTGTTGCTGATGGTGCTGTTTCTGTTGATGCTGCTCCTGCAGAAGCGACTGCCAGGGTTGTGCGTCTTGCTGCTGCTGCTGCTTGTTGAAAGCTTTTGACGGGCTCATTTTAACTTCAAAAGCCTGAAAATCTGTGCTGCACTTCTCCATCTGGCTACCAGTTTCCATGCAGTAGTGTTTTTCATTGCTGCTGCTGCTGCTCCTCCTGTGGCATATTTCGGTGGAACTACTGCTACTGCTGCTGCGCCGGCGTCTGCGGAGACAGCAAGTGCTGCCACTGCGTCCCCATCTGGATGGCAGCAGCCCTTCGGACTGGCGAATATTGGGATCGGCCTGAAAGCCCAGTGCCCACTGCTGCTGTTGCTGCTGCTCTTGCTGCTCTTGCTGCTGTTGGTGCTGCTGCCGCTGCTGCCGCTGCTGTCGCTGCAGTTGTTCTTGTTGCTCCACCTGCTTGTCCTGGGCTCCACGTGAACAAGCTGCAATGGAGCATTGGGCTCCAGGGACAACGGAGTTTGCATCAGCAGTAGAAACACAAACTGCAGGAGTAACACTACCTGCTGCGCCTGCAGGAGGAGTACGTAAGGATGCACCCGTTGTCTGAGGTGTGTCGACAGATCCAATTTGGAGGAACTGGCAAGCAGCAGACTCGTCATCACCGAAAATACTAGCTGCAGCGGGAGCAAAAGGCTTTTCAGCCTGCTGCAAGGCGCTGCAAAGATCCCCCCTTGACTCCTCTTCTGATGCACCGGGTTTCCATTTGAGTGGCAGCGCCGCCGTGTCTTGCTGCTGCTCCTGTTGCTCATAGTTTGCCTCACCGCCAGTTTGAAAGCAGGTCCGTGCTTCAGCTGCTGCTTCTGGAATGCATGCACAACCGAACATCGGAACAGTGGATACAACCGAAACCTCACCAGCAGCCAACGGTGACTCTGAAGGAAGCCGCAGAACAAAGGAGCAGCAGTCAGCAGCAGAAGAAGCAGGACTTGCTTCTGCAGAAGCATCAAGTGCTGGCGGCTCCAGATGCTCGCGGCTCAGTTTGTGCTGATTAACAGCTCTTTGCTGCTCAGGTAGAAGCAGGCCCTGCTGCAGCGGGCTGTGGTACTGCAACTGCTGGGGATGCTGCTGGCGCGGATTATTGTGTGCCTGTTGTGGATGCTGCAAAGATGAATCTACTGAATGCACCAATACATCCATTGCAGACACCCTGCTGCTGCTGCTCCTGCTGTTGTCGCTGTTTTTGCCGCTAGACTGAGCTGCTAGGAACGTATACAGGGGCACAGATGGACGACGAAAAAGGCAGCTGCTGGGGCTGACGGCTTCAGGAGAGTTGGCCACAGATGGCGTTGAAGAAGTGGGACAGCAGGTCACTAGAGTGCTCTGTCCCTTTTGCTGCTGCCATTCTCTGCTACTCCGCCGACTGTTGCTGTTGCTGTTGCCTTTTTGATAATACGATTGGTCAGGTCTCGTGTCAAGCCATGAACTGTCCAGGCAGGAACTGTTGCTTGTTTTGCTTGAACTGCTTCTGTTGCTGCTGCCGCCTCTGCTGCTGCTATCGCCTGGGGAACTGGGATGCTGGCTGGTTTCGCTTTCTTTCGGTTGCGGATTAGCGGGAAACTGGAGCGGTTGCCTTCTTTCTTCTTCTTGGTGTGGCTCTTGCTGCTGTTGGGACACCTGCTGGTGCTGCTGCTGATGGTCCTTCTGGCCCTCTTCCCTGTACTGCTGGTGCGACTCGTTGGGCCGGCTGGCACGGGTGAAAACAGAATCAAGTGCCGGAGGAGAACTGAAGTCACGTTGTTGCTGCTGCACTGCTTCTGCTGTTGCTACATTTAATCCTGCTGTGGGCGCTGCTGCCGCGTGTGCCTCTGCTCTGTCTGTTGTTTCTGCTATTGATGAAGATGCATGCAGGTTGCATCGTTCCACTGGGAGGACTGCATGTTTTTGAGGTATCTCCGCGGTTGTTGCTTCTGTTGCGGCCGCTGCCCTTGTTACGCTGCTCAGTTTCGTTGCTGAAGGCGACTCTGCAACAGGGTTGATTCCCGTGTTTGTGAGTCCTGTATGCAGCTGATCACCCGCAGCATCATCAGCCGCATTCCTTTTGCGTTCAACTGCAGGAAAAAAGCTGCTAGGAACAGCAGCTGGAGGAGCAGGAGAAGGAGGAGGAGGAGCAGCAGCAGAGCCTGAATCTGCTGCCGCAATGTTTGATCGTTGTTTCGCAACCGAAAGCCGCTTCAGCCACATGTTGAACCTGAGCGTTGCCGTGAGCGACAGCAAAAGCAAAAGCATGAGCATCAGCAGTAGAAACTTTGGGCCAATAAATCTTCCTCTGGGAATCCACCACAAGAATTAATTTTGAAAGGATTTGCCTTCGCAGCAGCTGCTCTTCTGAGTTGCATTGCCCCCCAAATCTATCCATAGAGACCACTGGTGTTACGCACTCCCTGCACCTATTTATGCTGCATGCTATGGCTCTCGCTGTTTCTCTTTGTGATGTGTTTCCTCACCTCACGTTGCCCGCCTTGTCCTTAGGCGTCAGCTGGTAGGCTTTGTCCAGCAGCAGGGACGACAAAGAAGGCAAACACACATGCAACACCGTGCGGAAATGCTGCCTGCATACGCAAATACCGAACCATAATACCTTGAACTACATGCCATGATTGGTCAAAAGTATTACAACGTATTAACGTAATCCGTCAGAAGTTGAAGGCAGTAAATGTAAGCGCAGAGATGAACACCACGAGGACTGCACCTAGCTGCAGCAGCAACAAAAAGCATAAAGCTGACCGGCTGATGACTTGAGATTTCTGAGTGTCAAAAAGAGCAAAGGCCGCTCCCAGGGCCTCACTCCCCACTCCTCGAGGCGACGCTGCTGGCGCGCCTCTCCCTCCTTGCTGCTGCTTCGGGGAATCCCCTGGAGCTGTTGCCGAATCCACCACTTCGATGGCCCAGCAAAGAGACTCCTCATAAGCGGCATGCCTCTCGTGCATCAGACGGCCGAAGAAGTAGCCCGCAGTCAACCTGAAGTAGCAGCAGCAGAAACCAAGAACAACATACAATGCATCAGCGGCAGTGTACGGCAAATGGCTCACTGTTCCCCTTGCTGCTGCTGCATGAGGGCACCTGCACGAAAGGCTCGAGCGTCAACCCTTCGTTCACGAAAAATGGATTTACTTGCTGTGGGCCTAGACAGTAGGAGCAGCAGAAACACAGCGGTACGAGCAGCAGCAGCGGTCGCAAGAAATACGTACACTGGAGAGAGGCACTGAGTTTGAATCTGCTGGAGAGCAATGCCCACTTCAACTTGAGAGACGTGCGCCTCTGCCAAGTCCACGAAGGCCTCCAACCAAGCCATGGTCAAAGTCCTCTCTACCAGTCAGCGGCAACAACAGCAGCAACATTGGCAGTGAACTATTCTTAAAACCAAAGACCGCCTGAAATTCTGCAGCTGCATCTGGGAGCCAGTCACTCAAGCAAGCCTGCAAGTCCTTCACTGCTTCCGCTGCAGCTCATGCAGCAACGGCAGCGGCAGCAGCAACAGCAGCAGCAGCAGCAGCCGCAGCATCTTCTATGTTGAACGCAAGCAATGCGCATCAGACTAACCGAGAAGAGCAACTTCTTCTGCTTCTGTCAGCACCCTCTCCTCAAGAGCAGAACTCTGTATAGCTTTCCCTGTACGCTGTTGCATGTCATTGTCAGAAGCGCTAGGGGGATCCGCAGTGCGAAACTGCGAAGCGGCACCAAGCACACTCATGTCCTTATCCACAGAGTCGGAAAGGGTTTCGGTAGGTCCTTGCTCTGTTTGCTGCCACGCCCGCCACAGAATAAACAAGGCAGATGACCGGTCGGCTAGCCTGCAGGAGCAGTACGTGTAGCAGCAGCAGCAGCAGCAACAGCAGGAGCAAAGCAAAATGGTGCCTGGACTAGTTTGACACAGGCAGCCAGACGAGCTTCCAGACAAATTTTTGGTGTCTGTTAAGTTCTCCCTGCTCACTAAAGCAAGCGCAGCCGCACTTGCTGCTGTTGGAAGCGCTGCTAAAGTGCCTTTTGAAAGCTGCCGTAGCCGCTGCACTGTAATGTGCGCTCACCGTTCTGTGATTCTGCCAAAGATAATTTGGAGGTACTCGTCAGTGAAGACAGCAAAGGATGGAGCTCTTGCCTCTCTTCGCGTCCTAGGCTTCTCTCCTCGCTGCTGCACCTGCTGCTGCGCCCTCTCCTGCTCGTCCTGCTGCTGTCGTCCCTGCTGCTGACGATCTTCTAAAACCTCGTCTCCTCCGAGCATTTCTGAGCCTGAAGTTAATCCCAAATCAACAGATTCTTCTTCGATGTGCATGTGCTGCTGGTGGTGTTCCCTCTGTTGTCGCTGCTGGCGCTGCTGCTGTTGCTGCTCAGCCTCCGGCTGCAGCGGCAGAATCAGGGCCGGCGCCTGTCTGCGCCTGCGTACGAACGCCTGCAGAAACGGGTCCCTCAGTAGGTGTGTGGGAGTAGGGCGTCTTGCGGGGTCCTTCTCGAGCATTGAGAATAGAAGGCGAGAAAGGTGGGGCGTGTAGATACTACTAATGGGTTCAACGGGGGCAAAAGCAATGGTCCAGACTAGCGAAATGAAGGAGTCCGCAGAGAAGGCATTGCGGTAAGTGCACAACTCGTACAAAACGCAGCCCAAGGCCCAAACATCACTTTTTATAGTGTACGGGCGAGACTCCAGCATTTCTGGTGACATGTATTGGGGAGTACCCACAGCTGTCTTCGCCACTCCTAGAGTGGCTGACATCACCTTACTAATGCCAAAGTCCCCAATTTTCAAAGACAAGCCGCTGCCTTCGGGGCAGATAGAACACTTAGAGCCTACAGGGTCCACAGCGCCAGCAGAAAAGCATCCACTTTCAGGGTACCCATCTTGCTGGGGCCCGCCTGCGCCACAGTTTCTATGGGCCTGCGGCGACTCCGCCTCCGCTGCAGGAGAGAGTAAAATGTTGCTGGGTTTCAGGTCTCTGTGAAGCACTCTCTGCGAATGCACGTATTTAAGCCCCCGCAGCAGCTGCAGCAGCCACTCTAGGATTTGCTGCTCTTCCAGCAGCTGCGGCTTTTCTTGGCTGGACAGGGAGGAGCTGCCGCTACCTCCGTTTCTACCGCTGTTGTGGGGCTCTCTGGGGCTGCTAGGGGGTGCTCGTCTTTGCTCTATAAACGAGGTCAGGTCCCCTCCCGAACAGTATTCCATCACTATCACTAGGAATGTATTCAGTATCACAAAGGACTCCACGCAACGAACCACTGAGGGGTGGCGCAGGCGCTTCATTAACTGCACGCACACAACGGAAATAGAGACATAAAGTGAAAGAACACAAACACAAATTGAAACGCACACATGAAAGGAAAGATCACACACTCTAACACACAGAAGCAGAGCTAATATTTTTAGACGCCCTCAGGAAGGCCGAAAATTCAAGAAAATGCAGACCATCCCAATGCAGACAATGATGCAAACTAAGAGCGCAAGAGCAGCTGAGTCCGAATCACAGACAAGACTGGAAAACAAACAGCTACACAAGCAGAAGCACAGGCACTCAACAAGGCACAGATTGTTGTTGGCGCATCATGAGCTCTTGGCCGAAAACAAGAAAACTATTCTCTCCAGTCTCAGTCTCAGTACGGCCGAAACAAGAAAACTATTCTCTCCAGTCTCAGTCTCAGTACTAGTTGTGACGTATAGATTTCGGGGCTCTCTGCGAGAAGAAGCACGGGAGGCAAGAAACCAATAGGCAAGCAAAATGACACTGTGGCACAGGACTTGTCAGGCGCACACAGAAAGCCACAGACAAACGAGCAGAAAGAACCATATATGGAAACTGAAACACAAGAAACTAGATCCACAACAACTGCAATAGGCGCAATAGCTGCAGTAGCTGCGTAGCTGCAATAGCTGCAATAGCTATTTTGCCCAAAGGCAGGGAACAATGAGTCTAATTGGTGCGTTTAAACGATCATAAGACGGCGATGCAAAAATGCAGCAACACAAGCAAAAGTGAGGTCAAGGCGGATTACGGGTAAAACGGCACTGAGAGTGCCGAACCAGACACTGGGCATATCAGCAACAGCTGGCGAATATGAATGACCTTTTCCAAACAGGAAGCAACAGAGACACTGGAGAAGAATGCAGGCAGGAGTCACACTGGAAGCAGAAGCAGAGGACAATAGCAATACTACAGCTTTTGCTTCATGAGCAAGCGGTGGCGGGGAAGTTCAAGTAGGAGAGAGAAACAAAACCAGAGACAGAAATACGGAATGGGAAGCAGCGTCACATCACCTAATGGCAACTAACTCGGGATTGTCATATTTGCTTCCTTTGAACTATCTCTTCTTTTGTTTAAGTCCATTACCTACTGCTGAGGGAAGCTGTTGCTGCTGCGGCTTCCCATGGGAGTGCAGCCTGCCAATACTGCCTCTGTTTCTGCTGCAGCGGCAGCATAACTACTCTTACTACTGTAAGTTCCGGTATTGTTGTTTGGCTATCAGTGGAAGCAGCAGCTATTATCTGACCTCCGCCTCCTGCAGGCTGAGTTTCCTGTCCCTCTCATCGAGGCAGCTCAAGTCGATTTGCTTCGCCAGCCATTCGCTCGAGTCTGAGAGCCGACGGACTTTATATGCAACACCGAACTGGCCGCGCCCTGCAGCAGCGGCAGCAATACCAGCGACAACAGCAATGGCAGCAGCAACAGAGAAAGCACCAACAGCAGTATTTGCTGATGGGACGCAAAAACTACTTTTGCTGCAGCTGCATCAGCGCTAGAGAACGGCATGCTGAGCGAGCATCTGCAGCTTTATGAAATGCCAGCCGCGGCTGCAGGAGGCATAGCTCCTGCTGCGACTGCCGCTATGGATGCAAATAAGTAACTGCATTGCCTCAGCCCTGCAACTCCAGCAGCATCAAAAGAAAACTAGGCTCATGTCCCCTTAGGGTTCGTCCCCTAAGTGTTTCACACAGTGTTCAGCAGCAGAAGCTCGAGACGCAGCAGCAACAACCACAGCAACAGCAGGAGATGCAGTAACAAGTGCAAGACACAGCAAAGGCATCAGCACCAGCAAACGCGACGAAGCCAGCAGCTGCAGAAGCCACTTCGGCTCACCAACAAAGGCTATAATTTCGTATCCGTGCGAAGTGAAATCGACAGTGCTGTCGCGGGGCGGAAGCTGCAGCGTCAGCATCTTGAAGCTGCTTGCTGCTGCCACAAATGCTCCTGCCGTTGCTGCTGCTGCGGTTGCCAGGCTGAATGGCCGCAGGCCGCTGTTTTCCTAACGCTTGCCCGCTGGAACAGCTATTTCTGGTGCTGCGTCTCCTGAACTGCGTATCTTGAGCTGCTGATCATGCAGTTGTTGCCGCTGTTGCTGCTGTTGACGCTGCGTTGTGACAGTCTGAGGCCACTGGACATCCTGTATGGAGGCTCTGAGCTCTTGTCCACGCTGAAACGGTGTCTGCAATGCTACATGCGTTGTTGTTGTTGTTTCTGCTGCTGTTGTTGCTACTTTTCTGCGGCAGATGCTTATCTGCTGCTACTCTCCCTGTTTCCACTGTCGCTGCTGCTGCTGCTGCAACGCGCAACTGGTGTCAGGGGTGCTGCTGCTACTATTTCCTATCGGGTTGTTCCTCAGTGCGTGTCGGATCCTGCTCCTCGCAGTTGCTTCTACCCCTGGATACAATTGCAGCAACGACGGAAGCAGCAGCAGCAGCAGCGCGACGAGCGGCACGAATGATGGATGAACACACAGATGCTATGGTGTCGATACAGAAAGAGACCCACTCTGGCAGCACAGACCCCCTGGCTCCTCTCCCTTCCTGTGGCACTGGTGAAGCTGTTGCTGTTTCTGTTGTTTCCACTGCTGCTGTTTCTCTTATTGTCACCGCCGTAAGTTCTTCTGCAGCTGCTAATTGTGCCGAACCCGCCACTTGTACCACAGTGTCTAATTCTTCTCTGACGAACGTCGGTACTGCTCTGTCTGCTTCTGTTGCCGCTGTTTCTCCTGCTCCTGCTGGCTGCTGCGGTGACGGCTCTAGTGATGGTGCTGGCGTTGCCGTTACTTCAGGAGTTGCTGATGCTGCGGGCTCTACCGCTGCTGCTTGTGGAGCCGCCGCTGCTCCAAGTGGTGCTCCTGCACAACAGCAAGGCGGCAATCACAAGACACTGCCGCAAGTAAGAGCGCTACTCCTGGTGCTGCTGCCTTGCAACTACTGCCCTTGCTGCTCACCCTGAGGCAGCGAGGGCCAATATGCTCTCTGGTAGCGAGTGGGGCAGCCGCAACAAACAACTTGAGCTCCCTCTGCAGCAGTGTTGCCGCGTTTGGGGCAGATGAGAGGAATGCTGCAGCAGGCAGTAGACACTACACCACAGTAGGAGTGGAATAGCATGTCCCCGAAGGCTTCAACGACACCCCAGTCTACATTTGACACTAATGTGGCACATTTCAATCTAAGAATGGGTTATTTCAAGGGTAACACTGCGGGCCTGTACACGTCACTGGTGTGCTGTCGGCAACGGCGAAGGGCGCTGCTGGAGCACAGGCTGTGTTTGCTCTCGTGTGAACCGATTAAACGCAAATCAAACTGGAAATTAGAAATACAAAACCAATGAAAGGTGACAGCGGCACAGCAGCAAGTTTGGAAGGTCACTGACGAGGAAAGAAGCATCTCAAGATCTTCTTCAGACCAATGGACCAGTTAACACAGAAATGAAGAAAAAAACTCTTCAATTCCTCAATACACCGAAGACTGATAATTGCTTCCTTTCTACTACAAATGAAGAATTATTCACAAGATTGTCAACATTCAGCAACAATGGAAGCATAATTTGCAGTTTCATCAGTGGCTGCATCACGCACAGTGGCGATGGGTTGCTGTGAAACTACTAGAATCGTGCGTGGTTGGGAATACATCCTCCAGAATAATTATTTTAATTTTAAAAAAGTTATTTTTCATGAATAGTAGATAAACATCCTGTACAGAAATAATACTCTCGTTAATAAGAACAGGCGTTACACTGGATGGATCACAAACAGGTGTCTGTATAGTATGCTGCTTATATAAGTCAAGTAAAGAACAAGTAAGTAACGGAATAAAGCAACCGTAATGCTATATATCGCAGAAGATACATTGTTCTGTTGCATATACACGTCCCACACTTTCCGCACTGCAGTCCTAAGGAGGTCTACTTAAAACAAGAAAGTCGTAATTTCCCATATTTTTAGCGGGCGAAAAAGTTTATAAACGAAACGAATGATGGAAAACGATTAAGGGGGATGGTGTATACAAACTCTAGAAGTTTGACATGATGTTCCTCAGACACGCTGCGGATGGCGGGCTTCGCAGCAGCAGGATTGCAACAGAAACAGCAGTAGCACCAGCACTTGGTACTGACGCTGTTCACGTTGTTGCTGAGTCAACTGGTGCTACTGACCCTTTTGCAGCAGCACGTGCCGCAACAGAAACAGCAGCATTAATCCTCGCTGCTGCTATTCTCATTGTTGCTGCATCTCCAGTGCCGCTGGTGCAGCGCAAAGGTTGAAGAGACGTTGACAGCAGCAGTAGCAGCACTTGCTGCTGCTGCTGTATATGTTGAAGCCTCTTCCACCAAGCTGCTGCAGATACCAATGCTGCGGGAGCAGCTACGGGAGCCGGGATCGGAGCAGCAGCAGCAGTTGTTGCCGCTCACGATTTTGCCGCTGCAGTGGTCCACGGGAAGCGGCATCTCCTACTCCTTCTCACTACGGTTGAGGGGACAGTTGTTGTCATCAGCCTCGAAGACAGTGCTACTAAATACCGAAAAACAAACGATGCATATCTTCTAGGTACACACCACTCATTATGTGGACATTGATAGGTGAATATTCCATAGGCCTGCGGCCTCACTCATTGTGAATATTATGGGTGGATGAATATTCGGAAGGCCTCGAGCCCCACATTTACTTCTTTGCGGGTTTGACCTTCTGGGGGGGCGCCTCGGTGGTGGCGAGCTGGACACATTGCTCCTTGTAGTCGGTCTCGTAGCAAGTGTACGGGACCCGGGTGGTCTCAGGCTTGAAGCAAGTGCCGATCCTTTCGCCACGGACGTTTTTGCAGCGGATCCTGGGCTCGCGCTTGGGGCAGGGGTACTCCTCGCTTTCCTGCACAACAGTGGTGCAAGTGCCCATCTCGTAGGCGGGAACGTTGACACAGTGTTCCTCCTCGATGTGTTCGGGGCATGCGAATTCGATTTCGGCGAGCCGGGTGTCGATGCAAGGAGTGTCGACGGTCTGTTCCTCGTCGTTGCAAACTTCCTCGAACTCGTGGTGTTCGCAGGGCTTCTCGATGTGCCTGAAGAGAGTTGCGTAGCAGGTGCTTCTGCGGGGCTTCTTGATCTCGTGGCACTTCTCGAAGAACTCGTGGCGGGGGCAGTCGAAGGTTTCTTGCCGGCTGGAGAAACGGTAGCCTTTGCGCTGCACCTTGCGGGGCACGTCCTGGCACTCGTTGAAGTGCTGCACTGCGGAGCAGGGCACCTCCTCCTCCTGGGTCACCTGGCGGACACAGTTCTTGGGGATTTCCTTGAGTTCCATCTCGCACTGCACGTCGGGGACCTCGCGGGGGCACATGTGCTGCTGGGTGCGGGCGACTTCGCGGGTGCAGACTTTGGGCACGGAGATGTGTACGTCTTCAGTGCAAGGGTAGGTTTCGATTTCCTCAGTGTCGACCTCAACCATCCTGCACTTGCCCTTCTTTCCGGCGAGAAGTCTTCCCTTCTTCTTGTAGTCACCGCACCTCTCGACCTTGGCCTTGAGGGGAACACGCCGGGTGCATGTCTTGGGCACCTGCTGGGTCTTGATTTCACTGCAGTCGTAGGTTTCGAGGCCCTTGACCTGCTTCTCGCAGGGCTCCTGGACAACCTTCTTGACGTCTTGGCACTTCTTCTCCCACTTCTGCTCATTGCAGGGGTACTGCTCCTCAGTGACAGTGCTGCGGAGGCATTTGCCGTGGTCGATGGCGCTGCGCTTGGTGCAGTGTCTTTCAGTCACAACCTCCTCGTAACTGTACTCTTCGGGAGTCTGGACCTCTCTTTTGCACTTGTTTGCAGTGACGCTCATCTCCACTGTGCATTCCATGGTGGTTTCGCTGCCCCAGCAGTCATACTCCTGCTTGTAGGCCTCGTAGTCAATGCACGTGCCGTTGGCGGGCTTGGCCACAATTTCGCACTTGGGCACTTTGATCTGCTTGGGGCAGCTGGTGGCGAACTTCTCCTCAACCTGCTCCGTGCAGTTCTTCTTCACGGTCTTGGGCACCTTGGCGCAGAGCTTTTGCTGCGACGCCTTGGGGCACTGGAACTGGACCTCGCGCTCTACCAAGCGGTGGCACTTGCCCGTGGCGTCCTGCTGGCTGACAGCGCAGAACTCGTGAGAAGTGGGGTGAGGACAACTGGAGGGGCGCGAGACAACCTCATCTCTGTAGCACGTCTTCTCCACACTGTAGGGAACAGCGAAACACTCCTCCTCGACGTGGAGGGGGAGAGCTGGCTCCTGAGGAGGAGGGGGAGGCGACTTGCTGGGCACTTCAGCCTGCTTAGGGGCAGGTGGCGCCTTCTTCCCTTGAACCTCGATGGTACCTCCCACCAGGGTGGCGATGAGGACCAATACAGGAGCGGCCACACGTCTCATTTTCAGGGAGAAATGTGAAGACAGTGGCTACAGAAAAGAGAAAAGAAGAAAGAAAAGGTGTGAGAAAACAGAAATATTTAACGAACTCCGTGTGCTGCCACCACCGCCAGCGGCAGCCACGCATGACGGGGGGGGGGCACTTGCTAGCGGTGAGCCGTCAAGCTCCAAACAGCCATGAAAACAGCTAACTTTATACCTTTTTTGACTTGATTTAGTATTAACAAACCCACACAATTCCTGAAAATAGCTACACCGGCACCAAGAGATCTAAAATCGGCGCACAATCTCTCGCGCTGCGCTGGCTGCTGCCCGCCACAACAGTTGATGTAGCTGCTGCTATAATGCTATTTTAGTGCTGATGCACTATTCAGCAAGATATTTCCTCGTCCTTCTCCCCAATGTTTGTTTTTTTGGAAGTGTGTAAACACTGAAAAGCCCTGAAGCCCCCTCATTGGACCGCTGGTCACACAGCCAGGCAGGCCTCAGCCGATGCGGCCCATGCCTCATTGTTTTTCGTCCCTCAGCCCCTCACCTACACCTTTTCATCCACACTTATGACTTTTACAGTGCTATAATGCAGAGAGCCGGCCACAACAACGCTCTGGGGTGCCTATTCCTCACAGCTTGCGCTGCAGCTCGCCCGCCTTTTGCACACAGACAGCCCTGTGAGGGCATGACCTTCACTTTTCTCAACTTCTTTCAGGGAAATTGTGCAGATGCACGGGAAGTACATGCCCCCCCAGCTTCTCTCCGAGTTGCAGTGCCCAGTGGACATCTCTGAAAGGCTCTTTCTCACTCTCACTGTCTGGCGGCCGGACTGAAACAACAGCAGCGGCGGCAGCAGCATCCGCTGTGGCAGCTACAGCAGCAGCACTAGAAGCTGCAGCAGTGCAGGGCCGGGGGCTACAGGGGAACTAAGGGAAAGGGGCAGACAAATGAGACAAAACTGAAGTCATTTGGCATTCAAATGCTCCTCAAGGTGACCTTGCGGGGGCGCCACCAGCACTCACTTCCCCTCTCGGGGGCTGGCTCGGGGGGCTGTGAGCAAGCCATATAAAAGGAATAAATAAAACCTGCAAACCCGCGGTTTCTAACTAAGCTCTCAGCAGCATGCAGGGGCTGTAGTGCTGCGTTTTGCCCCAGCAGCGCTGGCTGCGAACTAGTTGTGCAGCAGCTGCTGCTGCGGATGCTGCTGCTGCTGTTGCTGGCATGGCGGCGGCCCGCTGCAGCAGCCGCTGTGGCTTCACCGCGAATTCAGACCTTGTGTACCTGCAGCGTCCTCCCCAAACAAATCTAGGAAAGCATCAGCCTCGCCGTCAACTACTGCCTCTGCTGCTGACTGGATGTCTGCTGCTGCTGCTCCTGCTGGAGCTGCTGCTGTCGATAGTTCCACGTCCATCAGCGTGCCTGCAGCAGCAGCAGCCGCGTCTGCATCACCTGCTGAGTCTGCGCATGCTGCTGAGCCGGCTGACTCTGCTGCTGCCAATGCAGCAGATGCTGCTGCTGCTGCTCCTCGGGAAGTACACTCAGCACTTGTGGCTGCAGCACCATTGTCGATTGAGGCAGCAGCAGTTCGGGAGTGAGCAGCAGCGGGCTCCCTCACTTCTGCTGCTGCTGCTGTTTGTGCAGCTGCGGATTCCCCTGCTGCACCGGTGTACAGCTGCTGGGCTGCCGCTTGCTGCTGTGGGGGGCCCCCCTGCTTACGGGGCCTTCCGGGGCCCCTTCGAGGCCCCTGGGGGCCGGGGCTCTTTCTGGGGGCCTCTGCCTTGCGTTTCTTTTTCTGGCGTTTCGGCAGTTCCCAGTCCTCGCTGCTGTCGCTCTCGCGGGCACCCGCCTCCTCTGCAGATGCTGCAGCTGCTGCAGCTGCTGCAGCTGCTGCAGCAGGGGCCCCCCCATCCTTGAGAGCCCTTGTGGGGCCCCTGCGTCTGGGGGGCCTCCCGCGGCCCCGGCGGGGCCGGCCCCGACTTGAGACTTCCCCAGGCTGCTCAGCCAAGCCATCTTGCAGACTTCTATCTGCTGCAGCAGACGCTGCAGCAGCAGAATTGCTTCCAGGGACCCCCTCGGGAGCTTCTCCGGCGCATCCCCCTGGAGCAGCAGCTGCTGCTGCAGTGGCAGTAGCGGCTGCTGCTGCTGATGGCGGAAGGGCATTTGCTGCCTTCCCCCAAAGAACTGGCGCAAGAGCCGCAGCTGCCTCCTCTGCTGCTACTGCTGCTGCAGCATACGCTGGAGCTTCGGGGGTCTGTGAGGCGGAGGCCTGCCGCAGAAGCGCAGCAGCAGCAACGCTGCTGCGGAAGGCAGCACTCAAAAAGGGGGCCGGCAGCTGAGTTCGCTGCCGGCCCAGAGAGCCCCTCTGCTGCAGCTGCAGCCGCGGTGCAGCAAGAGGGCCCCTAGTGGGGCCCCCTGGCCCCCCGTCAGTGTCAGGGAAGCAGAGGGGCCCCCCCTTCCGGGCTTCCGTGTGCAGCCAGGGAAGCTGCAGCGCGGCTCCCCCTGCTTCCGGGTGTCTGTACAGCAGCAAAAGACGAGAAAGGGAAGGCACAGGGTCACCGGGCTCTCCCCAGGCGGGCTGCGGACCCGGCTGGAGGGCCTCGAGAGGGGGGCCCCCCTGAGCTGGGGGGCCCCCCTGAGCTGAACCCTTTTTCCCGTGGGGAGAGCCTTGCAGCTCTCTGAGAGCGTTTATGTGCGACGCATAAGAGATGTAATCTAGGCGAGAGATGCAGAAGACCCGCTGGAGCTGCTGCAGCAAAAAGGCGCATGCGGTCTCAGTGTCACTGGGCTGCAGCAAACTGCCAGCAGCAGGACCACTCGTGGCGGCACCGACCCCCGCAGCTGTTCGCTGCAGCTCTTCCAGATGACTGCAGCACACAGCAGCAGCAGCAGCAGCAACAACACACGAGCTGCCTGTATAAACAGCAGCAAGGGGGGCATCTGCTGAATTCGAAGCAGCTGTGAAGTCGCGCAAGTAGTAGCAAGAACAGCAGCAAAAGCCGACTAATCGCAGGGCGAGCAGCAACAGCACTCGTAGCTGCAGCAGCACGTGCTGCTGCAGGGGGAGCCGCAAGACTCACAGAGAGAAGAGTGCCATGTTTGCTGTGCAAGCCGCTCTGCGGGGCCCCGAAAGAGGGGACAGAGTAGGGGCCAAATCGAGCAGCTGGAGCGCCGGCTGCTGCTGCAGCTGCTGCAGCTGCTGCAGCCGTTGCTGCAGAGGTACTTCCGGCGACACAGGCGGCCAGTATCGCGCGAAGAGGCCAGCACGGAGTGCTGCGTAAAGTTGCAGCAGGTGCTCTTTCAGCCAGGCCTCCACGCTGCTGATGCTACTGCCGTTGTTCATGCAGCTGCTGCTTCCGTTGCTGCTGCTGCTCCAGGAGGCAAACAGCAGCAGCGCGTTTCTCGTCGCCGCTGCCTCAGCTTCCATGGACTGAAAGTGGGAGGCGCAGTCCGCCGGAGTCCTGCCAGAAAAGAGCTCCTGCCAAATTGGAAAAGCAGAAAAGGGGAAAGAACAGAGAAAGATGAAAAAAGGAAAAATACGGAAGCAACGGAGAAAGAAGCAGATCTTGAGCACACAAAAAGACAGAAAAACGCATGCATGCACAGGGATCAAGTGCATGCAAAGAAGCAGCAAGAGGGAAGACTGGGAAGCAAAAGCGCAGCAGACAAAAGCACCAAAAAATGGGGAATATGAATTCACCAAAGAGAAAGCTGAGAGAGCTAAAAGGCAGAAAAAGATTAAAGAGCAGCAAAATAGAAGCCACAGAAAAGGGGGCCCCTAAGGGCCAGCCAAGCAAACGGCTGCGCTGACCGGAAAGGATAGAGAGCCAAAAAAAAGTTGAGAAAAAATAAGTTGCAAATGAGGAAAAATATCAGAAAAGAAATAAACAAAAAAGGGACAAGACCTCAGTGGCAGCACGGCAAGATCAAGTAGAAAAGAAAGACACACAGGAGGCAGCTGGAAGCCGCGAAATAGAAAACATCAAAAACACCACGACACCCATAATGTGCAGCATGCAGGCCCCCGCAAACTAGGGTTTAGGGTTTAGGGTTTAGGGTTTGGGGCTGGGATCGCCCATTCTCACTGCAGCACGGCTCCAGTCCGGGCCAAAACAAGCTGCTGCTGCTCGCAGCAAAGCGCCCTCTGCTGCAGTCCACTGGAGTGGCTTTTTGGAAGGCGCTAAGCAGTGCTGGTACCTGCACAGAAAGGCAGAGCACCATTCCAAGCATTTAATTTGTTTTAATTGTCTTTTTTAGGATTAAAAACTTTGAAATACAATGAAAGTATCTAGTTATATTGGTGCTGCAGCAACGCCGCATGCAGAAAAGGCAGCGCCTGCAGCAGCAGCAGCAGCAGCAGTACAAGCCGAAGCAGCGGCAGCAGGGACAGCAGCAGCAGCTTAATGGCCCACAAAGGCCACTTGTAGCTGCTGCGCCATTAAAATGCAGCAGGCAGACGCAGCAGCAGCTACGGGACACCAAAGTGGCTGCAGCGAAACAGCAAAAAACTGTCAGCAGCAGCAGCAGCAGCAGAAGAGCGTCTGCTGCGGCGCTGCGGACACTTCTTCTGCTGCAGTGAATTAGATTCGAGCCAAGGCTGGAGTGTATGTACACCTCTCTCTGCACTTCATTTCCGTGCGGCCCCGCAAATGAGTTGCTGCTCTATTCCAGCTGGCGCGGCCGTAGCCAGAGACCAGCAGCTGCAGCTGCAAGTCTTCAAAAGGGCTGAACATCCCGTGTCTTTTGGTTTCCTGGCAAGCACACGCGCACAAAGCTCACCTCTGCTGCTGCTGCTGCTGTTGCTGCTGCCGCTACTGCTGCTGCTGCTGCTGCTGTTGCTGTTGCTGCTGTTGCTGCTTTTGCTGCTGCTGTTGCCGCTGCTGCTGCTACTGGTGCTGCTGCTGCTGCTGCTGTTGCTGCTGCTGCTGCTGAGGCTGAGCGTTTATAATCTGAGGCATGCAGTTTGGCCTTACCACTTGCAGATAGTTGTAGCGGGCCCTACACTGATTGTTTGTTCGCCCTGGAACTTTTGCAGCAACCCGCATCCACCTGCTGCTGCCTCTTGGGGTGCCCTGCACTGCAGCAGCAGCTGCCAGCAGCAGCTGGTCTTCTGCTGCAGTCCATTCCCTGCGCAGCTGCTGCTGCTGTCGCTGCTGCTGCAGCTGCACATACACCTGGAAAATCACAAACGGAGGCATCGGCGCGTCGCTGTAGGCTGCCATTGACAAGAAATCCACACCAGCTGCTGCAGCCGTTGCTGCTGCTGTTTCTGCTGCTGCTGCTGGAGCTTCTGCTGCGTTCTTATCCTCCAGGGCTGCTGCTTTGTCTGCGCGGCTGCTGCTGCTGCTGCACCGTTCTATAGCGGCGCGCGCGTGTCTCAATAAGAGCGCAGCTACGCCTGTTGCGGTGCTCTGCTGCTGCTGCTGCTGCTGCTGCTGCTGCAGCAGGCCGGGGCCACCTGCTGGCCAGGAAACACCCGATGAAGCGGCTATGCGCGTCGCTTGCTGCAGCTGCTGGAGTTGCAGCTGCTGCAGCTGTCGCCCCTCCTGCTGCTGCTGCAGAAGCATCATTTGCTGCTGCTGCTGCTGCTGCTGGTACTCCTCCTGCATGCGCTGCAGGGCTGCTTGGGTTGGCGTTGCATTCATAAAGCGAAGGAGGCATTCTGCTGCAGACAGCCGGAGGGATGGCGGTGCTGCAGCAGCAACAGCAGCACTGACGCGCCGCAGCAGCGACGCGAGAGTGTAGACCTTTCGCTGCTGCTGCTCACTTCGCCGCTGCTGCTGCTGCTGTTGCTGCTGCTGCTTGTCAGAGAGAGCTGCCGCCGGGCGAGCAGTCTGCAGCAGCAAGCGGATTCCCTGCAGCAATCTTGCGGGGTGAAGCGTGCACGCATCTTGCTGCTGCTGCTGCTGCTGCTGCTGCTGCTGCTGCTGCTGCTGAGCTCCCTGGATACTGGACAAGGAACGGGGGGGCCAGCTGGCGGCGTGAAAAGTAGCAGCAACAACTTGTGGGGGAATACGCAGCTCTTCCAAATGCATGCGCAGCTGCAGCAGCAGCAACAGCAGTGCGCACGTGCTGCCGGCGAGTTAGCACCAGCAGCAGCAGCAGCAGCAGCAGCAGCAGCAGCAGCAGCAACGGCTGCTGCTCGCCCCTTGCGGGCCACGCGGACTCAGCAGCAGCAGCGGCGGCAGCAGGAACAGCAGCAGCAGCGGCAGCAAGTGCAGCAGCAGCAGCAGCAGGAAGACACGAACTGACCTGCTTTTCAAAAAGAGAGAGCAGCAATGTTTGGGTTTGCAGCTCATCTTTGCTTCCTTCTGCTTCCTCCTCGTCGGAGTAGGGGGGCCCCCCGGGGCCCCTGTCGGGGGCCCCCGGGGGGCCCCCCTTCTGCTGCTGCGCGGCAGCAGTTTGCTTCCTCTTTCTCGCCTTGCGCAGCCGCAGCTGCTGCGCCAGCAGCGCAGCAGGAGCAGCAAGGGTCTTAGCAGCAGCAGGGGCACTGGGGGGGCCCCCCAAGTCCTCAGGGACTTCATCTTTAGGGGGGCCCCCCCCCCGCATGCGGCCAAGAGCTGGGGGGGCCCCCACAGCCGAGACCCGCGGCTTGCCGCTGGGGCAGTGCTGCACCTGCTGCTGCTGCTGCTGCTCCCACAGCAGCAGCGCGTCGCTGTTGCTTGGCAGGGGCCTCCCTTCTGCATTTGTTAAGAGGCCCTCGGAGGGGCCCCCCGCGCTTGAGGGGCCAGCTGTACCCTTGGGGGCCCCCCCCCGTTTGCTGCTGCTGCGGCTGCAGTCCCGCATGTGCTGCTGCAGCTCTTGGTGCCGCCGCAGCCGCCGCAGCTGCCGCTGCTGCTGCTCCAGCTGCTGCAGAATCCGCAGCCGCTGCTGCTGCAGCACCTGCTCTATGCTGCAGAGGATCGCATAGTGCTCCACAGCCTTCTCCTCCAGGTGGCTCAGCCTGCTGCTCCTGCTGCTGCTGCTGCTGCTGCTGCTACTGCTGCTGCTGCTGCCGCTGCTGCTGCTGCTGCTGCTTTTGCTGCTGCTGCTGGCTGCTGCTGGAGGGGCCTGCTTGGCTGGCTCTTGTGGGGTTTGGGGAGTTAAGAATGAGAAAACTCCTTCACTGGGGCCCCCAGGAAGGACCCACTCATCAGCATCTCCATCGGGGGCCCCATCTTCAGCTTCTCCCCACCAGTTGCTGCTTCCCTCTACGCCTCTGCTCGCTGGTTCGGCTGCTGCTGCTGCTGCTGCAGTTGCTGTTGCTGCTGTTGCTGCTGTTGCTGCTGCTGCTTCAGCATCGACGGAGGCGCCGGCAAGCGCAGCAGCAGCAGCAGCAGCGTCTGCTGGAGGCTCCTCAGACAGCAGCCACGGACTAAGTGCTGCCTGCTGATCCTCCTCATTGCTGCACTGCAGCAGCTGCTGCAGCGGGTTGTCCATGCTGCAGATGGACGGGGGGCCCCCAGGCTGCCCTATGAGTCGCGGGCGACGAGGTTGGGGGCCCTTTGCTGCTGCTCATGAGTGTACATAAGTAAAAAAACAAATTAAATGTTTACAAAAGTAATAATTGACTATATTTCACTAATTTTTCAACGGGGAGCAGCTGCTCCCGCCAGATCTTGTGGGGCTGGGGGCTCGTGCCCTGCAGGCGGAAGACTCGGCGGCAGCAGCAGCAGCAGCAGCTGCTGCTGCTGCTGCTGCTGAGGACGCTCGGGCTGGTTTTTGTCTATTTTTTGGGGATTTTTAAAAGAATTAGAGCTGCGAGAAAGCCTCAGAAAGCCCCAGCTGCCCCTCATCTCAGCTGTCCTTGAGTCCGGGCTAGCTGCAAGCTAGCTAGCCATCAACTGCAGGGGCCCCGAGACCCCAAGCCCCCAGCAAACTCTGTGAAGACAAGATCTGCTGAAGACCCCAAGTGGCTGTCTCTAGAATGACAAACATTCCCCAGGAAATGCGCGAGCGGGCGCTCGCTTCGAAGGTGCTGTTGCTGCTGCTGCTGCTGCTGCTGCTGGGGTTCCTGCTGCTGCTGCGGAGCTGCTGCTGCTGCGGAAACTGCCGCTGCAGATGTCCTTGACTCGACAAAGCAGCAGCTGTTGACCCCGCTGCTGCTGCTGCTGCTGAAAGAGGGCAGCGGGCAGCCTAGCCGCTGCCGTGTCTTCGTTTTGCACCAAGCATTGCTGCTGCTGCTGCTGCTGCTGCTGCTACAGCTGCAGCTGCTGTGTGGGTGTTTGCGTTTTCTCAGCTTGTAGACGCAGAAAAAGAAGTGAAGAAGGTGAGTGTTGTTTTTGCCTCCTTAGCCTCTGCTGGGGTGTACAGACAGCTGAGTGCATAGGGCTTTCTGCTGCAGCGGCGGACACTCCGCGGTGAGCCATTTGCTGCTGAAGTTAAATACTGTTCATTTGTTTTAATTTGTTTTCTTTTGTTTTATTTTTAAACTTAGTTTCTTTTAGATTCGCTCAAGTGGGGAAAGACAGCAGCAGCACTTGGCAGCCAGCCGCGCAGCCAGGCAGCAAGCCAGCAGCAAATGCAGCAGGGAGAGAAGCAACAGCAGCAAACTCGCAGCAAAAATAGGCCAACAGCAGCAAACAAGCAGCAAACGAGCAGCAAAAGTAGTCAAGCAGCAGCAAGCAAGCAGCAAGCAAGCAGCAAAGTTAAGATAGCCGCATGCAAACATACAAAACAGATGATTGCATCGAAGCTCTTCTGTTGTCTTGCAGCTCGAAAGAGAAAACCACAACCTTAAAGCAGTGAGCAGGCCAGCCGCACCTCTTGCTGCTGCTGCTGCTGCTGCTGCTGCTGCAGTTGCTGCTGCTGGAGTCGCCTCCGTTGTGGCTTCTTTCGCTGCTGCTGTCCCTGCGGCTGTTACTGCTGCTGCTGCTGCTGCTGCTGCTCCAGCTGCTCCGTCTGTCGCTGCCGCTTCGCGGTGCTTGCTGCTGCTGCTGCTGCTTCTGCTGCTGCTGCTGAGGCCGTGTCTGTTGCTACTGCTGTGCGGTGCCCGCTGCTGCAGCAACTCTCAATCAAGACGCAGCTGCTGACCGGCGTGAGCGTGAAGCCAGCAGCCCCCTAGCCGCAAACCCCCTTGCCCTCTTAGCTGCTGCTGCTGCTGCTGCTGCTGCTGCACTCCGGGGGCCTTAGCTGCTGCTGCACTTGTGGGGCCCCGCAGCAGCAGCTGCTGTTTGCGTCTGCCTGCAGAAAGTAGACCCCAGTGATATGGCAGCAATAGAGGCGGAGCTGCAGCAGGAACACGAGCAGCTGATGAAGGAGCGGAAGGAAGAAGTTGCTGCTCTCAGGGACCACATAAAGAAGCTCGACACTCTCGTCACAGAGCTGCAGCAGCAGCAGCAGCAGCAGCAGCAGCAAAGCTTTCTTGCCAAACTCCTCAGCTGCAACTGCAATGGACGCGCCGACGACCAAAGCACAGAACGCGCCTTTGACGCTCCCCAAAAGGCCAGCTAGCCAGCTAGCCAGCCAGCTAGCCAGCTAGCCAGCCAGCTAGCCAGCTAGCCAGCCAGCTAGCTAGCTAGCCAGCCAGCCAGCCAGCTAGCCAGCCAGCTCGCTAGCTAGCCAGCTAGCTAGCTAGTCAGCCAGCTAGCCAGCGAGCTTGCTAGCCAGACAGCTAGCTAGCTAGAGAGCTGTGAAGCAGACTGCTACAACCGAACCAAGCTGCTGCTGCACCTTGTGCTGCAGCTGCTGGAGCCGCCGCAGCTGTTGCTGCCTGAGGTGCAGCAGCTCCAAGTAGACAGTGAGTCGGCAGGGGGCAGCTGCTGCTCCCCGAAGCCAGACCCTTAGACATAACCCGCACCGCTGCCCCACAGTTGCTGCTGCTGCTGCTGCTGCTGCTGCTGCTGCAGCTGCTTGTGCGCAGCTTTCCACTAGGGGCCCCGCAGCAGGAAAAACTAACTGAGCCCCTCAGGCTCGTTTCAATGTTTCTTTCTGTCAGCAGCAGACACAGCAGGTCCTAAAGAGTTACCAAACAACACTTACATTCAAAAATTAGGGTACTAAACGCGAACCCCATCTTGGGGTTCCCTTCTAGGTGCCCCTAGGGGCCCCATGGTGGGGCCCCACAGGGCCCCACAGGCCCCCAATTGGGGCCCCACAGGGCCCCAGTTGGAGCCCCAGAGGGCCCCTCGTGGAGTCCCACAGGGTCCCCCTTGGGGCCCCGCAGGGCCCCAATTGGGGCCCCAAAGGGCCCCCTTTTGGGGCCCCACAGGGCTCCTCTTGGGGACCCAAAGGGCCCCCTTTTGGGGCCCCACAGAGCCCCTCTTGGGGCCTTGTAGGAGCCCGCTAGGGGCGGTTGCTCTTGGGGGCCCCCTGTCGTGCCCCTGGCGGAAACCCTGTGGGGGCCCCCAATCGGTATATATATTATCCCTAAGGCTAGGCACTGTGGGGCCAGCTGCTGCAGTTAGCTGTGCATTTCCTGGGCCTGTGCTGGGGGCCCCTTTGTGGGGGTTTGAGGCCCCCCAAGAACTTTGTGGGGGGCAGGGGGCCCCTCTTTCTGCGCAAAGCGCATCTTTCATCAAGCCTCAAGAAACTAATGGGTCTACTGACTGCTCTTTCCTCTTAAGGGCCTTTGGGGGCCCCCACGGGGGCCTCCCGCGCAGCAGCAAAGGCTGCCAAGGCGACGCGGGGGCCCCAGGTGGGGCCCCAGGCCCCTAGAAAGCCTCTTGGCTTCCCCGGGGCCTGTGTGGGCCCCTGGAGGCCCCTGAGAGGCCTCTAGGGGCCCCGAGGGGCCCCTGGGGGGCCTAGAGGCCCCTCAGGGGCCCCGGGTGGCGCAGAGGGGCCCCTGAGGATGCCTAGAGGCTCCCTAGGGGCCTCTAGAGGAGCAACGGGGCCCCCGAACATGCAGCGGAATAGCCCAAATTCACATTTTGCTTCGGGGCCCCTGCTGAGGCCTAAAAGAGAGTGAGGATGGTGAAGGAGGCGTACAGCAAAAAAATCGGATACCCCACCAAGACCCGCTGCTCTTCCAAGCGCAGCGCCTGCAGCAGCAGCAGCAGCAGCAGCAGCAGCGGGAGCGGTGGCCGCCCGGCGCAGCGGCGCCGCGCTGCTGCAGCGCAGCAGCAAGGCGGAGTGTCTGTACACCGCAGCAGCTGCGGCGCAGCAGCAACGCGGAGTGTCTGTACAGCGCAGCAGCTGCGGCGCAGCAGCAAGGCGGAGTGTCTGTACACCGCAGCAGCTGCGGCGCAGCAGCAAGGCGGGGTGTCTGTACACCGCAGCAGCTGCGGCGCAGCAGCAAGGCGGAGTGTCTGTACACCGCAGCAGCTGCGGCGCAGCAGCAAGGCGGAGTGTCTGTACACCGCAGCAGCCTCACCGCTTCAAAAAACGCAGAGGCCGAGTAAGTGGCCCAGCCGACCCCCAGAGCAGCAGCAGCGCAGCGAATCAAAACACTTTTTTTGATGAAGAGAGTGGCCAGCGCCACAGCTGTCACGGGAATCAAAGAGTAGCCCAGGATGGAGGCTGTGCGGTAGATGTCAATGCCTTCCCCCTGCGAAACGGCGAAGAAAGTTCCTAATAAGTGAAATAATGAATTATTTTATTTAAATTTTTTTGAATTTCAACTTCAAGTTCAACAAACAAAAGCACACAGAAGCAACTTGCGCGCACACGCAGACACCCGCTGCACGCCTGCAGCAGCACGGCGTGCGCGGCTGCGCCGCAGCCACCAGCAGCAGCAGCAGCAGCAGGACGAGCAGCAGGAACAGCAGCAGCAGCAGAACCAGCAGCAGGAACAGCAGCAGCAGCAGAACCAGCAGCAGGGACAGCAGCAGCACCAGCATTAGCAGAAAGAGCAGCAGGAACAGCAGCAGCAGCAGAACCAGTAGCAGGAACAGCAGCAGCAGCAGAACCAGCAGCAGGAACAGCAGCACCAGCAGAACGAGCAGCAGGAACAGCAGCAGCAGCAGAACCAGCAGCAGGAACAGCAGCAGCACCAGCAGAAAGAGCAGCAGGGACAGCAGCAGCAAGGTTGTAGGAGCCCCAAAGGAGGAGAAGCAGACACAAAAACTTGGAAATAATTCATTTTTTAGGAAATAATTCATCTTTTATTTTCAACTCACTCTTGACATTAAATTGAGCAGCAAATAAGTGGAAATGGACCCTATGATGCTCATGCCGTACAGACACCCGAACGTCGCCTTGCCAGCCTGAAACACTCAACGCCAGATAAACCCTAAACCCTAAACCCTAAACCCTAAACCCTGAACCCTAAACCCTAAGCCCTGAAGCCTCGCCGCAGGAGAGCGTGAGCTTGTCGCTGCAGCAGAGTCGAGAAACCAGCAACAGCGCGCGAACAGAAGCAGCTGCTCCTGCTGCTGGTGCTGCCGCTGCTGCAGCAGTTTGCTGCTGCCGCTGCTGCAGCAGTTTGCTGCAGCAGCAGCAGCAGCAAACTCAGCAGCAGCAAATACGGACTAGGAAAAGAAGAACTGCGAGAAATATGGCAATCAAAAGCGGGCCGCACAAATCGCTGTCCTTGAGCAGCTCGTGGTCGGCTCTGAGACGCACAAACCCTAAACCCCAAACCCTAAACCCCAAACCCTAAACCCTCAACCCAAACCCTCGTCCTAGACCCTTGCCTCCCCAACAGTCCTAAACCCTAATCCTGAGTTAAAACCCTAAAACCCTAAACGCAGTGCAGCAGAAAAAGCTGCTGCTGCCGCCAAGTGTGCTGCAGTACAAGTCCCTCGCCCTAAACCCTAAACCCTAAACCCTAAACCCTAAACCCCAAGCCCTCCTCACTTGCTGAAGAGCAAAACGGCCTTCATGCGCCGCCAAATATCTTGAGGGTTTATCCCCAACTCTGCAAAGAAAACTTAAGCAGCAAACTGCAGTTTTAAAGAACGGCGCTGCTGCGCTGCTGCTGCGCTGCTGCTGCGCTGCTGCTGCGCTGCTGCTGCGCTGCTGCTGCTTACCTTCCAGCAGCGGCGGCTCGTTTTCAAACGGGTCTTCTGGCTCGTCTTGGGGTCCTGCTGCTGCTGCTGCTGCTGCTGCTGCTGCTGTGTCTGGCTGCTGCTGCTGCGCGCTGAAAAGACGCAGCAAACTCTTCAACGAAAACAAACCACCACGGGGGCCCTGCTGCCCGTCGCTTCCCATGGGGCCCCCCATGGGGGCCCCCATGGGGGCCCCATTAAGGGCCCCTGCTTGGCCCCCCATGGGGCCTCCCATGGGGCCCCCCATAGGGGCCCCCATGGGGCCCCCCATAGGGGCCCCCATGGGGCCCCCCATGGGGCCCCCCGGGAAGCCCCCGTGGGCCTCGTAGTGCGCAGCAGCGCCGGCTAGAGGGGCCTCATTGTGCTGAAAGTCTCCCTGAAGCAGCCAGCAGCAGCAGCAGCAGCAGCAGCAGCAGCACTGTGAGCAGCAGCAGCAGCAGCAGCAGCAGCAGCGACGGGAGCAGCAGCAGAGGCAGCAGGGACGAGAGAGCTGGGACCAGCTAGCTAGCTAGCCAGCTAGCTAGCTGCTGCAGCACTCCGCAGCAAACTGACTTTGCTTGCCCCATAGTAATATGCCCCATCTGCTGCCTGGGGGCCCTCTAGGGGGCCCCCCGGGGGCCTCACGGGGGGCCCCCGGACTTGGGGGGCCCTGGGCCTCTCCATGGGGGCCCCCCCCGCGTAGTAGGGCTGCTGCTGCTGCAGCTGCTGCTGCTGCAGCTGCTGCTGATAATGCTGCTGCTGAGGGTAGGGCTGGGGCTGCTGCCCGTAGGGGGCCCTGTGCTGCTGCGGCAGCTGCTGCTGCTGCTGCAGCGGCGGCTGCAGCGGCTGCTGCTGCTGCTGCTGCTGCTGCTGCTGCAACTGCTGCGACCCGGGAAGCACACGGCCCCCCGAGAGTCTCATGGAGCCGCCCTTGGCGTCTCCAGCGTCCCACCCGTAAGGCTGCTGCGGCTGCTGCTGCTGCTGCTGACCATAGGCTTGCTGCTGCTGCTGCCTGAATTGCTGCTGCTGTCCATAGATCTGCTGCGGCTGCTGCTGCCTGAATGGCTGCTGCTGCTGCTGAGGCGCATACACCTGCTGCTGCGGAGGCCCTGCTGCCGACACATTTCCGTAAATCGGCTGCTGCTGAGGCTCCGGGACCTGTCCAGGGCTTTGCTGCTGGAATGGCTGCTGCTGCTGCTCCACTGGTTGCTGCTGCTGCTGCTGCTGCTGCGGCAAGTCTGCAGCATCAGGAAAGCCTCGACGGGGCTGCAGGCCGCCTGCCTGGCTGTCGGCGTAGCGCCGCCTTATCTGGGGCTTATCTGCCATTTGCTGTGTCAAGACGCAGCAGCAGCAGCAGCAGCAGCAGCAGCAATGATAGCAGCAGCAGCGGAAGCAGCAGCAGCTGCGGGAAAGCGGAGAGTGTTGAAATAAAAATTGGCTTCGCCGCTCTGCACTAAAGAAAATGAGGTGCTGATGCTGCTGTCGCTATGCTTTGCCTGCAGATGCTGCTCAGCTGCTGCTGCTGTCGCCGCTGCTGCTGCTGCAGCTGCTGCTGCTCTGCAGGGCAGCAGATCCCCTGCAGTTAAGTGTAACGAATGAGTCGATGAACGCCTCCTTTGTCTAGTCGCAACAGCTGCTGCTGGTGTTTCCGCTGCTGCTGTCGCTGCAGTCCCTACTCTGCTGCTGCTGCTGCTGCTGCTGCTGAGCACAGCGCGCTTAGCCCATATAGTGCATGTCTTGCTAACTGTCTAGAGAGTTGCTGCTCTCCAGAACACAAAGAAAAGGAGAAAACAAATTGAGCAGAAATACAGATAATTGGGGTGTACGTACACTTCACGCGGGCCGTCGAGATGCCGCCGCTTTCTCTGCAGGCAGGCTTGATCCCAGCTGCTACAGCAGCAGCAGCAGTTGCTGCTGCCGCTGCTGCTGCTGTTGGGGCTTGCTGCTGTGGACCCCACAAAGTGACATTTGCATGCGGCCTCGCGCGTACATCTCTATTTTTGTTTTTGTGGCTATTTTTTTGAGGAAAAGGACCTGAGAGCTGCGCTTTCTGCTACTGCTGCTGCTGCTGCCGCTGCTGCTGCCGCCGGTGCTGCCGCTGCTGCTGCTGCTGCAGCAAATCGAAGGAAAATGTACCCGCTTCTCCTCCAGGGCCATGACAGGCCACTCACTTGGGTTCAATTCAACAGAGATGGAGACCTTATGTTCACATGCGGCAAGGTGGGCCACCGGCAGCAGCAGCAGCAGCAGCAGCAGCAGCTCCTAAGGCACCGCCCTTCACCGCAGCAGCGCAGCAGCAGCCGCATTAAGGCAGCACGAACCCTCTTGCCTGCAGATTCTGATTAGCTTCCTGTATAGGGGACGGAGCCGAGCAGCAGCAGCATGCAGGAGGGTTACAGCCGCCCTGCTGCGGCAGCAGCAGCACAGCAGCAGCAGCAGCGCAGCAGCAGCAGCGCAGCAGCAACAGCGCAGCAGCAGCACGAGCGGTTCCGGTTTGCTGCTGCTGTTTGTTTCTTCAGGACGCGAAGCTCTCTTTGTGGCGGACAGAAGACGGCATCCGCATAGGTGGGTTTCTGCTGCTGCTGCTGCAGCTTTTTGTAGCTGCTGCAGCTTCTTGTAGCTGCTGCAGCTTTTTGTAGCTGCTGCAGCTTCTTGTAGCTGCTGCAGCTTTTTGTAGCTGCTGCAGCTTCTTGTAGCTGCTGCAGCTTCAAGTAGCAGCAAAGAGAAGTTTCATTTTATTTCAACTTGGCAGCAAATAAGCCAAAGACCCATTTGGCCCAAAAAGGGAAATAAATGGCAGCAGCAAAAGGGGCCCCCGGGGGGCCCCTTTTGCTGCTGCCATTTATTTCCCTTTTTGACTTTCGGGCCCCCGCGTCCTCCAGCCAGCGCCTGCTTCGCCTCGAGGGTTTAGGGTTTAGGGTTTAGGGTTTAGGGTTTGGGGTTGGTGGCTTTGGGGTCCGGGGTGCGACGCCGCGGGGCGCTCGCGGAGCCCGGCTCTGCACCCTGCTGCTGCTGCTGCTGCTGCTGCTGCTGCTGCTGCTGCTGCTGCTGCTGCTGCTGCTGCAGGCACGTACGACGTGGGCAAAGCGGTGGTTTGGGCCTGCGACTGCACTCTGGACTCTTCGCGTCTTGTTGCTGCTTCTGGAGATCAAAAGATTCTCATTTTCGACGTTTGCAGCGGCGCTTTGCTCAACGAGATTGCAGAACAGGGGCCCTGCAAGTAGGGTTTAGGGTTTAGGGTTTAGGGTTTAGGGTTAGGGTTTGGGGGCGCTGCCGCGGGCGCCACGCAGAGCGCTGCAGCGGGTGTCTAGGGTTTAGGGTTTAGGGTTTAGGGTTAGGGTTTGGGGGCGCTGCGGCGGGCGCCACGCAGAGCGCTGCAGCGGGTGTCTAGGGTTTAGGGTTTAGGGTTTAGGGTTTAGGGTTTGGGGTTTGGCTGCGGCCGCGGTGGCGCGGCCGCCCCCACGGCGTGGACTCAGGGCTGAGGGGTTTGCGCCCGGCACCTGGGGTTTAGGGTTTAGGGTTTAGGGCTTGTGCAGGGTTTAGGGTTTAGGGTTTAGGGTTTAGGGTTTGTGCTGCAGGTTTGTGGAGTGGTGCCGCATGCCCACCCAGCAGAACAAGTTCGTCCTCGCCCACGACAACTTCGGGGCCAACCAGAAGGGCATTAAGGCTTGGAGGGTGAAACCCTAAACCCTAAACCCTAAACCCTAAACCCTCGCGAATTCTGGGCCTCCTTAGCCTGTAAACCCTTATGAAGATTGGCCGCGGCCTGTGGGCGGCCGACGCTCTGGCGCACTGCCGCTGCGCAGCCTGCCCAGACACCTAGGGCTTAGGGCTTAGGGTTTAGGGTTTAGGGTTTAGGGTTTAGGGTTTAGGGTTTGGGCGCAGGTGGACGGGGAGACCCCGAAGCGGCTGTGGATTCAAGACGACTTTGCTGCAAGGTGTATTCAAGTCCACTGGGGCCCCTTCGACGAGACAGTAATATCAACTCACGAAAACGGGGACATCATGGTGCCAAACCCTAAACCCTAAACCCTAAACCCTAAACCCTAAACCCTTAGCACAGCAACCCTGGGCCGGCATTGCAAGCGCTGCGGCCGGCGCACAAGCTCAAACCCCAAACCCTCGCAAACACTAAACCCTAGGATAAACCCTCCGCAAGCTCGCCCTGCAGCAAAGCCTTTCTCTAGCCGAGCAGGCGGAGGCCGCAGCGAGGGTTTAGGGTTAAGCGAGGGTTTAGGGTTTAGGGTTTAGGGTTTGAGGTTTAGGGGGTGTCTGCAGGTGTGGGACGCTGCAACCGGCGAGTACATCAGCGAGCTGCGCGGCCACAAGTCCCTCATCACTTGCATGAGTTTCTCTGACGACAGAATGCTGGCCCTCACGGTCTGCTGCTGCTGCTGCTGCTGCTGCTGCTGCTGCTGCTGGCGTCGTTGCTGCGGCTGCGTGTGCTGCTGTGGCAGCGGCGGCGGTGCTGCTGGCGGCTGCTGCTGCTGCTGGCTTTGCTGCAACAGCTTCCACGCGCTGCTGCGGCGGTGGCGGGTTCGTTGCTCTGTCTTTTCTATTATTTATCTGCTGCTGCTGCTGCTGCTGCTGCTGCTGTTCAGAGCTGCTCAGACGGCACAGCAAAGTTGTGGTCAACGAAGGACTGGGAATGTTTGAAGGTAAATTTTTTCCATTTAGAGGAACCTGGCAGGAGGCGCCCTTTGCTGCTCCGGTGGCTGCTGCTGCCTGGCATCCGCCCACTGCTGCTGCTGCTGCTGCTGCTGCTGCTGCTGCTGCTGCTGCAGACGTACACTACCGACCGGCCGCTGAACTCTTGCGCGCTGAGTCCGCTGCTGACTCACCCTGGCTCCGAGCGGAAGCTCCACTTGCTGCTGGGCGGCGGGCAGGCGGCTGAGGATGTCACAACTACAGGCAAGTTGCCGCTGCGTTGCTGCTGCTGCTGCTGCTGCTGCTGCTGTGGGCATTGCTGCTGCTCCTCTGGGTTTCCGGCTGCGGCTTGTGTACCGTCGTGAACTGCGGCAGCTTGAGTGGTTTGGCGAGTTGGGTTTTGAATTCATGGGTGCGGGTGTCCGTCCGCATGGACGGCGCTGCAGCAGCAGCAGCAGCGCAGCAGCAGCAGCGCAGCAGCAGCAGCAGCAGCAGCAGTGCTCCCCCAGTCTCTGCGTGCTGGCTGCAGGGGCCCCCGGCTGCAGCCGTGGGGCCCCCGCTGCTGCTGCGGGTTCGCTTGCTTTAACTGCAGACGCCCCAGCTGTTCTGTCACTAAAAGTCTCACAAAGAGTGGAAAATAACGAGCACTAAGAGGCACTTTTAAAGGGTTATGTGGGAATAAATGCAAGTTGAAAGGCCTAAGTGCGAAGAAGTGCAAATTCCAAGGGTTGGATGTGAAAAATGAAAACTTTCAAAAGGTTGAATGGGGAGAAGTGCAACTTCAAAGGGTTGAACGCGAGCAAATGAAGTCTCAGAACTTCGAATGTGAAACAAATGCAGTTTCTGAGGATGAATATAAATGCGATTTCAAATGCGAAGTAGTTCACTTTCAAAGGGTTGAATGTGAATGAGTTCAATTTGAAGAAGTTGAACTTGAAGAAAGGATTGAATGCGGTGAAGTGCAACTTCAAAGGGCTGAATGCAAAGAAATGCAGATTCAAAAGGTTGGGTGAAAAGAAGTGAAGTTCCCAAGGGCTAAATGCGAATAAGTGCACTTTCGAAAGGCTGAATGCAAGTAAATGCGCCTTCAAATGCGAATAATTGGGTTTTTAGAGGGTTGAATGAAAGTGGGTTTAATTTGAAGATATGAATGTGAATATATGCACTTTCAAAGTGTTTATTGCGAATGAGTGAACTTTGAAGTACAAATAATTGGGCCCTCGAAGGATTAAGTGGGAAAGAATTGAATCTGGAAGTTTAATGCGAATAAATGCATTTTAAAAGGAATTGAATTAGAATGAATTGAAGTTGAAAGTTGAGTGCGAATAAATGCGCTATCAAAGGGCTAATGGGAACAAATGCACTTTCAAATCTGAACAAACACAATTTCTAGGGGTCAATGGGAACGAATGTGCTTTTAAATCTGAACAAATATCTTTTCTAGGGGTCAAAAGGACTAATTTGAATTGAAGTTGGCTGCGGAAGAATGCGCTTTGAAAGGGTTGAATGTGAATTGTTGCACTTTCAAGGGCTGAATGCGAATAAATGCGCTATCAAAGGGCTAAATGGACTAAATGGGAATAATAGCACTTCTAAATCTGAATAAACACCTTTTTAAGGGGTTAGTGCGAACAAAAGCGCTTTCGAATCTGAACAAACGCCCCTTCAAGGGTTCTAAAGGACAAATTGAATTGATGTTGCGTGCGGCGGAGTGGACCTGCGCAGCGGTTTGAATATGAAGAAATGCACTTTCAAAGAAGTAAATAAAGGGAATAAACACCTTTTAAGGGGTTAATAAGAACAAAGGCACTTTCGGATCTGAACAAACACCCCTTCAAGTGTTCATAAGGACTAAAATGAATTTGCGTTCGTGCGGCGGAGTGGACCTGCGCAGCGGTTTGAACGCGAGTAAAAGCACGTTCAAGGGTTTGAATAAAGTGAATAAACACTTTTCAAGGGGCTAATAGGAACAAAAGCACTTTCGAATATCGAATATGAACAAGCACCCCTTGAAGGGTCCAGAGGTGTAGACTGAATGCAAGTTCGTGCGGCGGAGCGGACCTGCGCAGCGGTTTGAATGCGGGAAAACGCGCGTTTAAAGGGATGAATAAGGGTTTAAAAGATGCAGAAACACTTTAAAAGGGTTTAGCGGGGGCAAAGCCTTTTTGCGGGCACGAACAAACCCCCGAAGGGGCCCAGTGTGCACGGCCTGCGCTGCGCAGCGAGCGGCGAAGGCAAGTTCGAGGCGCTGCTGTACCACGTTGTGCGCGGCGAAGAAATCGCCAGCTGCAAAGGCCACTTCGGGCCGCTGCACACGCTGGCTTGGAAGCCCGACGGCAGCGGCTACGCCTCTGGCGGCGAAGACGGCTACGTCCGTCTGTACTCCTTCGACGAGGAGTACTTCACCGACGACAAGTTCCAGTGAACCCCAGCAGCAGTCTGCTGCTGCTGCTGCTGCTGCGCTGCTGCTGCGCTGCTGCACAGTTGCGCTGCGGCGCGGCGCTGCTGCGGCGCTGCTGCGGCGCTGCGGCCACGAACGGGGAGATGCAGCAGACGGGAGTTCTGCTGCGCTGCTGCTCCGCCGTGGAAAGTGCAGCAGACGCGAGTTCTGCTGCGCTGCTGCGCTGCTGCGGAAGCAGCAGCAAACACGCCGGTGCTGCTGCGCTGCGGCGACGCCGGGGAGAAGCAGCTGCGGGGGCGCCTGCTGCAGCAGCAGCCCGCCATGAGAAGTGGCGGGGGGGGCCGGGGGGGC